CAAAAATGTTTGAGTCTTTAGCTCCTATGGAACATTTGCTGTGCTGTGAAATACGCAATTGTATAGTTGTTGGACTGATGTAATCCACAGTTTATGCGGTTGGTGTCGGATGGTACACGCCTTACATAGTCACGTAACGCAGTCAGTAGGTGCTTAAGAGGCCAACAGATTTACGTGGCCAACAGTATTGGAATCTATTTTTCTTCAGTGGTTTGGTTTTTTAATGTCCTAAACCTTCCTACACTACTGTAGATGGACACAGTGTGCACATGACTTTGAACTTCGTGGCACTTGCTCTGTCACAAACATCGGATTTGCGTGGATGATAGTGGAGGCTGGGAAGTATCGAAATATGAAATGAACAAAGTCAAAAAACAAAACAACATGGTTTTAAAGTAACACAATAAACCACAACAAAAACAAACAAACCAGAGTGGATTAGCTTTACGTATGAAATAAACCAGGGAATTAAACCAAACTGACGGAACAACAAGGTACACCTGGAGAAAACGCGAGTGTCTGGAGGAAGCTGGTTGTTTGACGCAGGGGACGGTGCTGATGACTACAGTTGGAAACAAAAACCGAGTAAGACAATACATGAAAAGGGATCCAGAGAAAACATGAAACACATCAAAATCGAATCAAAACAAAGTCAACAAAAGCACAGAACATGACATCCTCGTGCTTGTGTGCGTTTGTGCGGCTTCCTCCCACAGTGCACGTGATTTGTGATTGACTGGCAACCGGCCAAGGGTGTATTCGCCGAAAGTCAGCTGGGCGAGGCTCCAGATCACCCATGACATGATGACAAGCGCTACAGAAAATGGATGGATGAAACAACAGCTGGAGACGCACAAACACATTTCTCACGCCACTATTTATTTATTGCGCCATCCCAGTAATCAAATGGATCGTCCCTCTGACTGACTTTGGGGCATGCGTTTTGAGTTCAGCTTCAACTTCGTGAATGTGACTGTAGAAAAATGGAGGCATGAGAACTTGAAAGAGCAGTCAGACTGGACTTGTCCCTCAAGTCAAGTCATTCTATTTCTAATCACCGGAGTATTTTGAGAAGGGCACTCTGGATAAAGATCGACACAAACAGGACGTTGTAGCAGTGAGGCTCAGGGAAAGATTTTCGGATAGGAAGCAACGACACATGCTGGTGTTGATAGCTTGTTACCTGATAAGCTACCTTGCCGTGTGGAAGTGGGGGGAGCTAATTGGCATTTGTATCATATGAGGGATGACATCATCCTACGCACGAAATACGCGTCGGGTGGGAACGAGTGATTTCTGTCATCAGGCTGTCAAAACCAATCAACCGCATGTTCATTTTGGTGACTCATTGCCATGCAGCGAGAATCGTCAATGAGTTCATTCTTGCAGTTTTTAGCTGCTGATAAACAGTGTGGAATGACATTTAAAAATGGCTGTACTGGATTTCTTAGCCATGCCGAAACACTCATTTCATGCACTGATATCAAATCTTCAATCTTTCACGTGCAGTAGCTCTTTTTTTTTTAATATGGAAAAATAGGACAGGGTGAAAACTACTTACAATCAGTGAGCTACATAAAAGAAACTTTCTCTGGCTGTCTGTTTTTGACTTAATATTCAAAGTCATCTTAGAACAGTGATGTTACAAAAGTCAACCTTCATTGAGATTTAACATGAGCCTAAAGCAACTTAGATCAACAGACCTTAGTTGTCCTTTTGAGGCCAGTTGTTGGTAGGCCGATTTCATCGGCTCAATATCACTGCCACATGGCTGGCGCTGGTCAACCGGCCATTTGTTCAGGTTTTGTCTCCATTTTTCTCATAGGTTCATTTGTTTCTGGGTCAAACTGTCAGGACCAAATAACCTCAAGACAATTATTAAGACATTTGATTTCACCTGTCGCACAAGTGTAGAATTAAATTAACCACTTTATATTAAGTCGTGGAAAGAATCATGTTTGAGTGATTTGAAAGAAGATTTTTTTGAAACTTAACTTGAGACCTGAGAACGAGCAAGGCGACATGGGAGTCTGACTATTTTCAATATGACTTCCATTACTTTTTCTTGTTTTCTTAACAGCCCTTTTGCGGCTAAACACATGCAAAGTTAGCATGAACGTCTGCTAATTAGAAGATTTTTAGATAACATGTTCAAGGCAAAATGCATATTAGGGCTCTACGGCAGGGGTCCCCAACCTTTTTTGCCCCACGGACCGGTTTCATGTCAGTCAATATTTTCAGGCCGGATAGATACAACAATATGATATGACCTGCATGAAAAGTATGGTATTTTCGCCACATAATAATAAACACGAATCATGACACGAGGAACGTCCTATCTGGCTGCAACATTCTCTGGTCGCGATCGTAACGTTTAAACTTGCCTTCAAAATAAGACACGCCGCAAATAAAAACTGCATGAAAAATACGACTTACCCACCATCGCCGCTTATTATGCGGAGTAGGCTTGGTGCGTGTGAATCTCCCGTTGAGATAAAGCCGTATTTGCAAAAGGACTCCTGATGCCGTCTATTAAATGTAGCCTTCTCTTTCTTGAAAGTCCTAGGCTACTCTTCTGTCTCCTGGCTGGGCCTTTCCCCCTTCCCAAAGAAACTTCCAAAGACGTTTGTTTTTCATTCATTTTGCAAGCTCCTGGGTTTCATTTCCTATCACGTGACCGAGAAACGCGCGTTCACCTGCGTCAAGAGTGACATACTGTAGACTGATATAATAGAGAATCCGGTAATTTTTCAAAATAAAACATCTTTCAGATTCCGAAATGAATAAAACGGAAGAAATGTAAGCTATTTATTCTTTCTCTGCGGCCCGGCACCAAATGACCCGCGGACCGGTACCAGTCCGCGGCCCGGTGGTTGGACACCACTGCTCTACGGTATGACCAGTGATTGGTGTGTCACATGACTCTGTGAATTGTTCAACTGGTCGCGTTTCTCATCCCAACATTTTCAGTGGATGGGGAAAAAAAAAAGACACATTTTGGTACAGTGACATTGTAGTCTAAGAGTGCCCACTTCCACCGGCAATGCGTTACATCACAACTTTCGTCTTCATTCCATTGGCAGGTGCTAAACTTCACCCGGCAACCCTTGAACAAACGCACAAAACGAACGCCCACCAGGCGGGGTGTGACGCCCAATGAGAGGTCATGGGTCTCACATTAGGGGGAGGGGGCTCGCCACGGTGTGTGTGTGTGTGTGTGTGTGTGTGCATTGTCCGCACAATGTGTGTGTGTGCGTGTGTGTGTGTGTGTGTGTGTGTGTGTGTGCGCTCGCGCGGGCACATTTTATTTTTATTTGCCTCTCCACACCCCTGCTGACCTGTCCATCATAAAGCCTTTATAATGTCTTTACAGGCCGTGATCCTCCCAAAGACTTTGGTCTCCAGCCTCTCTGCTACTGTAATAGGAAAGGAATCAGCTTCTCTCAGGAAACAAACAAAAAAACAAATAACAAAAATCAGCATTGTGGTGAGTCATTGAAGTGCTACGATCCTCACGAGTGGCGTGACTCCCTTCATAAATGTTTCCAGTGGGGTTCATATGTTCTGATTTGACATACAGAGAAGTTCATCGGAGAAAAGAGTTGCAAGATTTTTTAATAGTTGTTGTGTTATATAAAACACATTGCAAACAATTAGTTTCCACCAGTATATCACAAGACAGTTTAATTTGGAGCATGGTCACGCTGCATGAGTTTATGACTGAACTTAATCTTTCCGTGCGGGTCAATTTTGTTCACAAAAACGGGCGAAAGGGCTAAAACTAGAATTGAAAAAAATATTTTCATTGACAAAATAAAAGAAAAACTAACAAAGTACATTTTCCGGTTACATTGGAACTATATTACATCATGTCATTTTAGATATACTCTAACAGTATGTAAACTGGAAATATCACCATATTATATTCATCACTAGTTGGCAGACATACGCTGTATAGAATAATCCTTAATAATAATAATAATAACAATAATAAAAATAATAATAATAATAATAATAATAATGCTGGGCGGTGGACGACTGGTTAGCACTTCACCTCACAGTGCAGAGTTCGTTTCTGACTCTGGCCTTCCTGAGTGGGGTTTGCATATTCAGCCCGTGCTGGGTGGGTTTTCTCTGGGTACTCCGGTTTCCGCCCACATTCTAAAAACATTTGTGGCAGGTTCACGGAACACTCTAAATTGTCCCCTGGCGTGATTGTGAGCGTGAATGATTGTTCGTCTATATGTGCTCTATGATTGGCTGGCAAGCAGTTCAGGGTGTACCCCGCCAGCTGCCCGAAAATAGCTGCGATAGGACACCTGCGACCCTTGTGAGGGTAAGCGAATTAGAAAGTGGAGGGATGGATAATAATGTTCATGAGGAGCAGCACGGTGAGAGACTGGTTAGCATGTCCGCCTCACAGTGCATACAATGAATCAAACACATCAGTCAATGTATCACTGTAGGTGATGATGATGATGATGATGATGTACAGCTATGTGATTAGTCTTCCTTTGATTTTATTGTAAAATACATACATGACATTTCGAGGAGAAAACAATTCTCAACGTTTTGGGTTTTTTTTTGTAAACGGTCACATTAGCTTCAATGCTAGCGCTAACACACACAAAAAAAAATCAAAAGCGTCATGGCTTCTCCTCATCACAAGACAGTTTAGCGTTCAACCATGATTTTCAAGCTGTTATTTTAAGGTTCAGTCACTTTGGTACAGCATATAGACAGACATTCATTCAAACTTTGCCAAGCAATGATTTAAGAATGAACAAATGTGACAGCTGGTTACAATGCAAACATACAGTAGCGCGCACAGATGTACACGAACATGCGGGGACACACACGCGCACACACACACACACACACACACACACACACACACACACACATGCCGCTGCCCCTTTCCACTCCCCTTCCTCTTTCATCCCACCTTTCCCTCCTCCCTCTATCGCTCCATCCCTCCCTTCCTCTCCCCTCTTGAATTAAATCCATTATTCCTGCCTGCTCTCCCTCTGAGCACTTGAGCGCCGCTCAGCTCCCGTGTGCGTGCGTGTGCGCGTGACCCTCTCACATGTGCACGTTAAGAAGACTTTTGTGTGTTTTTTCGAAGTGGAGTTGGAGTGCCGCTGCTCATCAGTGAAAGTGACTGTAGGATCGGGGAGGACCTACCTGTGCTTGTATTTTGGAAGCTTTTCTGAGACAAAAACTGAACTTTTTTGCACTGAGCTGCTCTGTTTGTTTGTTTTTTTACCTTGCAGGTACCGTTCACAGAATTCTTTTCTTTCAACAAATCATTGGATTTTTTTTTTTTTTAATTATTATTATTAAAAGGAATTGCAGACATCGAACCACTTTGTGGTGTGACCAAGTTGGGTATATAAAGTGGAATTGTTTGATTCCTTTGGAAAATTCCTTTTCGTGGACAAGGTGCATGGTGTGGAAAATAGAAGAGGCAATTATTTGGTGAGATGTTTTTCACTATGGATTTGCCAGGCTCAGGTGGACACTGACCCCAATCTTGGGAAGTACTGGACCCTTTTGGTGTTTGGTTTCCAGAAGCAAATGGACAGGTGAGTTTATCCTGACTCGAAGGCAGGAGAACGGAAGATCCTCCGCAGTGTATTTATGGTAGCTCGGGGGAAAGGGCAATTAAGGGATCTTGTTTTCAGATTTTGTTTGGATTGGTTCCAGTCGGAAGTTGTGCTGAGTTCAATGCTGCTTCTGGACTTAACTTGACAGACACGGTGGTCCTGCGCTTATTTATTTCTACATTACATCTTGATTTAGATCGCACTTTCACTAGCAACACTCCATCAGTCTGGCAGTTACATCAATTCTGATTTATTCCAACTATTTTAAGTAACCCCCAATCACCGCCACTGGCCGCTGCAGTTATAACAGCTTCCAAGCTTCTTCTGGCAAGACTTTGTGCATACAAGATGTTGGCGTGTCTGTAGGATTTGTGTTGACATGACGGCAAAGGTGACTGATGTTGGGCACCTGAGAGAAGGTTTGCTGCTTTTGCCCCAAATCTGTTTAAGTTCATCCCAAAATTGTTTGATGGGCTTGCTCCCTTCAGCACCAGATGTGTTGATGGACCTTGCTGTTCAGATCAAGTTGGATGCATGCAAGTGTCCGAAATGTCCTGCGAAGAAAAAGAATAACACATCATGGACTCATGAGTAATATGATAAATTGGATCATGATGAAAAGTGTCAGAAGTTCTTCACATAGAATGACTACACTAAACATAGATGAATGTGCTTCTTTGAGATGTGAAAGAGAGGAAGATAAACCACATGCCAGCGGGGCAAAAATTGACCAAAGTCATGATTTTCTTCCAGTCGTGAACCAAATCAAAAGGTTGCGCAGTCATAGGACAGTCACATCTGCTTGGGAAAAATGATTTGCTCAATTACGTAATGCAACTTGGCCTTCGTGCCTTTTGTCAGGAGACCCACAACAAAAAGCATGGCTCAACAGCCGTATAGTAAGTGACTACAAGTCTTGAGAGGATTTAAGCCGGGAGAAAGACGAGAAAGTGAGACGTTCAGAGGCAGCAAGCCCAGTGGTTCTTGAAAGAGCCACAGAAGAGAACATTAGCGCGTTCTGCTCCTTGCTGGTAAAGAGCCATCTGGACCACAATACCCGATGGAAACTTTCCCAGATTACAAATCAGCCGCTTGCATTTGTCAGATCAAGTCAAAGTTTTAGTTGAAACAGAAACAAAACTATTGACACAAATCACAAATCTTGACTTTCATCTATCTTTCCAAAATAAAACAAAAGAAGCTGTGATAACTCTTCTTGTCCCAAAGCGGTTTTCCATCTGTTCTTTTGTTGTTGTTTTTTTTTCGCGTTCCTTGTCCCTCGACTTGGTCAGCATATTTTAGCCTTGATGTCGATTTGTAGCTTATTCTTTCATTTGCTATTCAATCAGACCTCCCAATATGACAAGATTTTGGAGCACCCTCCCAAAGACACGACTGAAGTAGTGAGCCTTGACTTTAAACTGGACTGACGGTGCTCTTGCATACCCTCTAGTGGCTACTGGGCCGACAAGCAGGTGGCTTTTACAATGCTGTCCCTCCGTACATCCACTTTCTAAAACGATTACGGTGTAATTTTATTTTTTTATTTTTTGCAGTTGTGGGTGAGCTGTTGGGAAAACAGAGGGGGGGGTATTGTAATACAAAGTAACTTGTGTTTCCCCTTTTCATGAATCATAATATACATAATTTCATGTGAACAATCACAATCATTATAATAATAAGACGATCATATTAGCATTTCTTTCTAGTTTTGATCATGTTTCCTTATGAATCCAGTTAGTGGCCCTGTGTTAAAATTTTTCCTCCTTGTCCCTTTGTCTTTTCATTCCACACAAGGAGGCTACAAGACATGCTGCGTTGCAGGCTGGGAAATTCGTTTTCTCCCATAAAGCGAAACAATTGGCCCTTTTCTCTCGGTTACCTATTGTCTCAACTCCCGCGCCATCTCTCTGTTCGTCCCTCCAATCGCGCATGCTGATAGACTGCAGGGCTGAAACAGGCGGGATGTCACGATTGTCATATTCGAGGCCAAGTGAGAGAGTGTGGCTTAACGACCAATGGAAACATGTTTGGTTACATTGCATTTTCAAGAACATCGGCATTGTCCAAATCTCTTTAAATTCCATACTGACTAGCGACGATTGTTTTGATTGAGTGATGCCAACCTTGGGCGGCATGGTGGGCGACTGGTCAGCAGGTCCCCCCTCACAGTGCAGAGGTGCAGCCTTCCTTTGTGGAGTTTGCATGTTTTCCTCGTGCCTGCGTAGGTTTTCTCCGGGTACTCCGGTTTCCTCCCACATTCCAAAAACATGCATGGCAGGCTGACTGAACACTCTAACTTGTCCCTAGGTGTGAACGTGAGCACGGATGGTTGTTCGTCTTTGTGTGCCCTGCAATTGGCTGGCAACCGGTTCAGGGTGTCCCCCGCTTACTGCCCGAAGACAACTGGGATAGGCGCCAGCACACGACCCTTCTGAGGATAAGCAGATTAGAAAATGGATGGATGGATGGATGGAAACCTTAGATAATGAATGGTGGCAAACACATTCGGGATGTATTTTCGGGTCCAGCGCAAGTCTAGCACAAAGGGTGGAGTTTTCTTTCTGTCTGGCATTTTCGTCAACGGGCAAGGCTAGAAAGAGGAGTTTGCACCATTGAGGGAGTGCACACAGCTGACTTGATCAATCAAAGTCCTCCTCTCATTTCCTTTGTATTAACAGCACAGTTGAGGATCACTTGTCTTCAGCATTGCGGAAGCAAAATGTGAATCATTGCATGGAGTCCATGCAGAAGATGGAAGCAAGCAAGTTAGATTTATAAGGAACTGCAAGTAGACCTCCATGAGTGAATGATCGCACGTCACTGCTGCGAAATGGGCACACCTTTCTACTCCTACATCCTCCCCATAGCTGTTCTGCAGTCAAGGGGGGTGTTTTAACAAAATATAATCAAGATAATGCGAGAAATAATTTGTTCAATTAAGTCATTTCTTACAGGATTGAGAGAATTTGATGACATTGAGTGAAATATGATGACATCCACCACACATATCAGCGGAGCCCAAAATCTGTCCACCTGTGCCTAGATCTAATCCGCCAAATCGTGTAACACCACCTGCGTCACAATTTAGAACCACACTTACCTGGTCGAAAGTCTAATCTACTTTTGCGGTGTGCCAAATTCCCAAACATAGTAAACTAGACTTGCCTCGGCACGAAAATAAAGATGTGCCAGTTATTACACCAAGCATACATACAGCTGTCTAAGAAAAACTTGCCCTAAGACTCTTTAATGAAATGCTTATCACTTGTTAATTCATCTTCTATGGATTTTTTTTGAACACATATCATTTTTTTAACATATTCATTTCACACACATATTTTACATTTTACTTTGACTTCAAGATCACTGCTGGGGCAGGTCAGAGACTGTGGGTGGGCTGGATCTGAGTCCCAGGTCATACTTTCAGGTCTGGCCTACAGTATACACCCCACACTTTTCTACTTTTGTATAATTCACAGGTGTCCATGTTGTAAAATGGATACCTGTCACACAGAAAGACGTTGTACATTTGCGCCCTACCCAGAAAATCAGTAATTTCTCTGCAAAAAATAAATAAATAAATCGAGGCTAAAAAAGTGAAGTATAGTAAATTGATAGAATAACATATCTTGTGTTTAGACAAAGAGAGAGTGTGATGAGAATTTCTCTTATCCAACTAAAAACAATCAAGTGCCTTATTTTTGCTGTACACCACAAATCATGATGGCCTACAAGTGGTTTTGTCCCAAAATGGGTTGAGGTGAAGAGCAAGGAAACGTCTGCAAATAAAAATGTTTTATTTATGTCATATTTTGTATAAAAATGAGTTCCCCAGAGGGCAAGAAGTATTTTCCAAAGGAAATCTTTCCACAAAACCATTTTCCTTCTGAGCTGAGACAGACTCATCAGAGATGATAGGCAAATCTCCGGAACTTATTTTCATTTATGTTTTTGTGAAGTCTATCGAGAGGGCTTGGTGTCACATCATGTCACACTTTGTTAGCTCGCGTGCTATACCTCGGAGTTGTCGCCGCTTCGTGATGTGAGACCAAGCCCTCTGAGAATTAGGACACCCCGTTGAATCTCACAAACATGCACAACCGAGCGAGGCCTACGCAATAAAACAAAGGCTAAGGTGGAGAATTTGTTATTGGCATGAATCTTGCTAGCCCGAAGCAATCCATAAATTAGCCGCATCATTGTTCAAGGAAAGAAATTTAGCATTTGAACATGTTAAACCCTTTTACTACTTGGCGTATTCTGTCCGTCTGGATGCCTTGTGACATCTTGCTACCTCTTATGGGTATGTCTTGGTGCTATAAGTGTCTAACCTTTATAAAATTAGTTCAGATGTTCGAAATTAGCATGTGTGTATCCCGCTTTTCATACAGGTACTTGCAGCTGCCATTTGCTTTTTGCCCTCAAACATCCTCGTCTGCAAACACCCTCTCAGCCTCCAACTGTAGCTCATGTCTCTCTTTTCTGTTCTCGAACTTTACAAGTAGTGTTCATAGAAGGCTGCGGGTTAAATGCTAATAGCCATTCATTATATTGTGCTTTACATCGGCTTGCTCTCTAACCTCGCTCTCAAAAGCTTATCACACCCGGAAGGCCGACCGTGCTTTGTCTAGCCGTTGCTATTTAGCCTTTTTTTTTTCTTTTTTGGGATGGGACGCCTTGACCCCCACCTACTCGAAGGAATCTGGCCTTCTCGCTTTCTTTTTTATTCTCAGTCCACTCCCTCTTGGCATGCTGCTGCTGTGTCTATTGGAGCCGAACTGAATAAAAGTGTCAGCGGCCCCAATGGCTTTTTTTCTTTTTTATTAAGATGCATTAAGGAGCTAGCTGGGAGTTTGTGCAATTGTCAGGGAGTGTGTGTGCACAGCTAAGTGCAGAGTGAGAACCTGCGTGTGTGTGTGTGTGTGTGTGTGTGTGTGTGTGTGTGCGTGTGTGAGAGTCTTGAGTGGACTCACACATGTACACACAAACACACAATGAGACTTGTCGCTCTTTTAATAGCAGTCGACAAGAGAGTCAGACTCCAAGGGACGATGACGTGAAAGTATACCCACTGTATGTTGTGTCATTGCGCCACACAACTCCACACAAACCCCCAAGTGCTCACAGACGCGCACAAAAGCGCACACTCACACACAAACCAAAGTCACCACAGAAAAATACAATTCACGCTTTATGAATGCATTTTGCACGGGCACCATAATCACTTCGTGTTGGCAATGAAAATTTAAGGCTTTTTTTTTTTTTTTTTTTTTACACAATCGTGACATGAAAACTGAGCAGACTAAATTTTAAGGGTTCAAAAAAAAAAGAAAAAGACAACACTTCTTTTGTTCAACTCAACAGCAGTGCAATGTGGCACAGGAAGCCAAGATGTGTGCTGTTTCAAAAGCTTGCATGTGCACCTTTGTCCATTCACGCGTGTGAGTGCGTGCATGTGTGTGTGTGTGTGTGTGTGTGTGTGTGTGTGTGCCTATTTTGTGTGTTTGTGTGTGCGTGTACATATATACATACCGCAAGGTATGGGAGTTTTATGTTCCTGTCCTGTTGTGTTGGAGAGACTAGACAGCTGCGTGAGTTTATAAGAGCTTGCTTGTCCCTGTGCCTCAATAGCTTCATTATTCATAAAAAATGTGTGCCAGCAGCCGAGACGTGAGTGCGCATAGCCACAATACATGTATTTTTGAAACACTTTGTTTATATAGGTACAGCACTGTGGAAAAAGTCTCAAACCAGCTTTGTTGTTTTTTCATTTTTCACAACCGCGGTCATTTTGACATCGTCAAAGAGAAAATTTATACAATAACGACAAAACTGTGGTTGCGTACGGGCCAAGGAAAAAGTAATGGCGTCTGCCTTTGTTGTGTTGCGGATGGCATTAAAATAATCCTGCATCCTGCAGAATCATAACCCATCTGTTCACCATGCTCCGTAAATCAGGAAGTAGTCTGCAAGATAAGCCAAGAGATGGACAACACGAGGTTGTTCTTTTTAGAGTTTGGACTTAGTGGATGCTCACACTCTACTGGGTGACATTATGCAGGAGCTTTACCCCACGTTTGTCCATTCCAATTTGGGCTAAGAAGTTGTGCCAGTTGGAAGTACAGCAGTTTAGATTTAATTCATGTAAAATTGTCATTTTACGCAAACTACTCTAAACTCTTCAAATATAGTCACGTCGGGGACAGTGAATAAAGCAGCTCTATCCCCATATAAATGTCAACAGCGACGCGTGAAAAGAGCTGCATTGAAGCAAAAATCATGTTAATGAAGCTGTAAGTAGTCAAAGTACGGAGGGGATAATTAACAACATCGAACAAGACAGTATAAAGCAACATTGTCTCAAATTGGTGAGTGACATTTGTGAGGTGTAATGTCATAAATGCAACTCGTTCTCCTGAAAGACATCATTGTGGCCAGCAGATTTGTGTGTGTGTGTGTGTGTGTGTGTGTGTGTGTGTGTGTGTGTGTGTGTGTGCGCACGCATGTGTGTGATTCGCCAGAGGCCCAGCTCACTTTCGTCAATAGAAGAGTTACTTGTTTAACTTTATAATATGACAATGACATATTCAGTGAATGAGACCACATTTGATCCCAAACACGCAAAAAAACCCAACAAACACAAAGACAACAATTACACAGGGAATCAATCAGAGAATTTAAAACCGACATTAAGGGGTCTGTTTTGATGAACGTAAATCCAGTGTAAATCCGACGTGGCGCATGACGTATCTATGCACGGAAGCACCCATGGTGTTAATTTTGCAGATGAGCGAAGGGTGGCGGATCTGAGAGAAGGGAGGCTGCACCGCTGTTGGAGTGATCGCCGCCGACTTCAATCATGGCTAACCTTTCATTTGCTTTAACCCTTTCATGCACCCTGTAACCTGATCATATGATAAGCTGCCCACTGTAGTAAACGATGTCCCTGAAAGGATTAAATGTGGTGTGCTAGTAGCGCACTCAGTCTTGACATGACGGAAGCAAATCCGTGCCACCCTCAAACGAAGAATGATTAGCTTGACACAAAATGCTTTGCCAAATTGGCAAAAATGATCAAAATCGGGATATGTCGGCAATTGATTTTGAAAAGTATGGTGACACTGGATTAGTTCTGTTCAGTTTTATTCTTCTTTGCTCAAGATCGTCTTGAGTGTTACGAAAAGAACAAAATGGGGATAATTGTCTGCTTCTTTCCAACATTTTTTTCCCATTTTCACTTCATGGATAAGTTGTGCTGATACTTTGCGCTATCTCCTGAATGTGTGTGTGTATGTGTGTGTGTGTTTGTGTGTCTGTGTGTGTGAGAGCGCATGCGTATTGGTGTGCCTGTGTGTGTATGTGTGCAATAAAAATAGACAATCTGTTGCTGTCCATCTCTGAATCTTGCCTCCCTTTTTCTATTTTTAGATCTGGATTTGGCCCGTGTGTGACATTTTCATCCCTTCTTGGAGGTGAAAGGTGAGGCCTGTTGGTTTGGGAATCTGCCAGGAGAACACTTCCATGTCAAGACGGCAGGTCCAAAAGAATACAGGAACTCTGGCACGATAAGCCGATACTCAGACTCAACCGATGGACTCCAATTGACTATCTGACCTGAAGTCCAGTGACAACATCTCCTTGCGGACTTGAAAAGAAACCGCGTGCCAGAATGATGACCATGATGATGATGATGGTGGCCACGATGGTCACCTGCAGCTCCCTGTTCCTTTTGGGACTGGCCGCCGCTCATGCTTCCTCTCCCAGCACAGTGACGCGTTCGTCTCCGTCTTCCTCCTCCTCTTCGTCCTCGCCACGTATGAAGCTCTCGTTCAAAGGTAAAAACAGGAAGCTGTAAAGAATCCTCCAGGTGACGTGAAGAAGTAATGCGAAGTAGTCTTAATTGCAGCATTTTCTGTTACTGCAGTATACAAATACAGTAGGAAGGGTCTGATGGTTCATTCCATGACGTAAGTGACACCCAAGGCGCCAACCATATAAATCAGTGTCGTGATCTTTTATTTCAGTGTCAAGCGCCCACTCCCCACCCTTACCATCCAACCAAGAACACGATACTCTTCCCCCCATCATATAAGCTCATGAGACAAACTCATCCCAAGGAGATGAGCAACATTTTGTGGGCTAAGGCCTAGCGCCCAACACCGTTTATAACTGAAAGCAGATGAGTAAAAAAAAAGTGCTGTTTTGGTGTCAGTTGTTGACATCACAGTGCCATTTTTTAAGCCAGAAAAGGCAAACGGGTCTCAAAGTGGAGGTTGTGCGACTGCCCCTGGAATGTCGGTAGTATTGTTTCTCTTCTCGGGCCCATTTGTACTTATAAGTCGTTAGTATTTTGACTCGTATCGTCTTATGTCATAGAACGTCATCCATCCATCCATTTTCGACGACACTTTCCATCCCACCTACTCCATCTTATTTTGGGCGAGAGGTGGGGTACACCCTGGCCTGATAGCCCGCCAATTGCCAGTCACATACCGACAATCATTCTTACCAATGTAAATTTAAAGTCTTATTATAAGTACCCGGTAAGACTTTACTTGGGGAAAACCAACGCAAGCAAGGCAGAGATCTGCAAACTATACGTACCAAATATGAATACAGCCCAGTACATGTACCGTTTCGTGCCGAATAGCGACGTTTCTGATGCATGCTATTTTCGAGATAAATGTCAAGTCCGACCTGGGATGCCCACATTGATTTACTGCACAGGTGGTCCTCGATTTACGATGGCGTTCCATGCCTTAGGTGGCAACGTTATATCAATTTAGGTCAGAATATATTGTAGTTTTGTAGCTGTGTTAACACTTAGTCAGAGTACTTATAAGTCGTTAGTATTGTGACTCGTATCGTTAGTGTAAGCGAGCACCTCCTGTAATTCAACATACATGATGCTCCCATCATAGATCTGCAACGCAGTGTACGGTCCTCGCCCACAAGTTAAGAATCAATGCCCTAAAGTCCACCATGCCGCCAGCTGAAGTTCAATTTTGCACTCCCCGACCCCCCTTACATCTTACAAAACCAATGTAAAATCACTCATTCCCACAAAGTTTTGTCAAATGGAAACTGACAAAAGCCACATGTTCCTGAAACCGCACTTGTCAAGCAATTGCTTCGTCTTTAGCCTAAGGCTGCAGCTAAAATAAAATGCAAATCAAATGGATGAACCGCATGACTTGAAGCCCCGATCACGTTCTACTGAATGGACTCTCCAGATTTGTTTTGCAAGTTGGAGTCATCTCGAGTCACTTTTCGTTCTTTCGGTTATTTATGAAACAAATTTGCACATAAACATATCATTAAAAATACAATGAACAAATTGCTATTATTTAGATGTTTACGCGCAACACAAATATCCAATGGCCTGAAAAAGTCCCAATCAAAACATGTGCTTGTAAAACTTATTTTCAAGAAATACAATGAAGTGCAAAGAATTCAAATGAAAAACAACAGCACTTGCAACATTTAGGAATATTTTAGCAACACATGCGGGTGTTTCAGTCCGTTTTTTTGTTTTTGTTTTTTTAACACTTATCAATGCAAATCTCATTCAAGATAAATATGACCAAATACAAAGAAAAATAAAGAAGGGAAAAATAAAATAAATACAAAGATAAGAAATGGTCATGCTGTACCATGCTAGGGGAATGAGAGTTTACATAAATACCGTATTTTCTGCACTATAAGGCGCACCTAAAAAGCATTCACTTTTCTCAAAAGCCGACAGTGCGCCTTACAATCTGGCGTGCCTTACATATGGATCAATATTCTGATTTCTTGGACGTAGTATTTTAAAGGTTCTGTAAAGCGCTTTGTTATTGTTGTAGCGCTTGTGAAAGCTCTAAATAAAGCTGTATTGTATTGTATTCACTTTAGCGTAGCTCCATCTAGTGGATGCATCACACAATCGCAGCCACTATTTATTGTAGCTCAAAACAGAACAGTTTTTGTTTTCATGACTTTCATGAACATGGAACGTGGCATCACTTTGCCCATACTAGCTTTAGCGTCGCAGTTAGCACAGGGTGTGTGATACCTTCCCATTGCTCATATCTAGAGTAATGACTGTAAAGCCACTGTGGACATAGAATACATTTCATGGCGCAATGCATTGAAGCGCTTCATATTTCATTGTTTAGGTGTAAATTTCTGATGCAGTCCCGTACATTTCCGCTTGCAGACTTGCAGCAGTTCAATGGAGTGAGGCGCTATGAGCTGGAGCGCTCGTGCTGCTTCAGCGCTCTGCTGCTGGACGAGGAGCGGGGCCGACTCTTCGTTGGGGCCAAGAACTTCCTGCTGTCACTCTCGCTGGATAACATCGGCAAACAGGACCACAAGGTTGGAAAAAATTCCATCCCACCAACTATACTGCTCTGATTTCAGAATCATACTTGAATTAAAAAACGTTTAAAACAGTTCAAAGGGTGGAATGGAATTGAACAAACACTGCATTCTAGATTACAGACTGGCCATCAGATGAGCAGTTGTTGTGTTAAAGTCTTAAAAACTTCATTTTAAGAGGTTTAGATATCCGCAAGAGTGAATAAAACTGAAATTTTAAAAAAATGATTTGTTTTCATCATTTATGTCAAGACGATTGCATTTAATGACATGAAACCAGTAAACAAATTTAGATTCAAACTGTTGGGTTTCAGATCCACTGGCCTGCCCCCGTTGAGTGGAGGGAGGAATGCAACTGGGCCGGCAAGGATATCGCAGTAAGTCAGCTCATGTTGTTTAAACTCTGTAGTTTTCAACATTTGCCATTTTTTCAGTTGCTTATTGTCATTATTGATGGGCATATATGTGTAAAAATATGTCAACCATCAAAGATACAAACACAGCGTAAAAGGAGACTCATTATTGTTCCCAGTTGTCTTAACAACAAGACTGCGATATGATTTCGTCAACATATCCAAAGGATCAAGAATTATCATCAGAAGTTGATGCTGCTGTCACTGTGCTAACGCTGCAGCTCTGCCTACTGTTGGACTTTGAAGTGGGTCTTTCACTCTGGAATTTTGGCCAGTTCAGCTGCCAAGTCATTGGTGGAGGAATTCAGTGTCGGGCTTGGTAATGGGCAGATAACAAAAAGATTAACTTGGGTGTTCACTTTTACACTTGATGGGTGAGCAGGCACTCCAGCAATGCGGGATTTCATTTAAATACAGTTTATCGTGTACTAATCATTGTTGAGGCAATTAACAACAAATAAATATATTTTTCAAAGTATACTCTTCATTTGAAGTGAGGTCGTGCAGTATATTGCATGAGAGTGGATTGAGAGCCATTACTCCCCCCCCCACCAAAAACTGAAAAAGGTCGATATTCTCGGTGTGATATTTGACTTCAGAGGTGCCACTGCACATTCAAATGATCAAAAAGTCATAAAAATCGTAAATAAAGACAACCCTAATCCTACAATAAACCTAACTAATAACACTCAGGGGGGATTGGCTCCCTAATGTTGACTGAACAAAGCTTCACACTTCCTCTAAACAGAACCTGTTAACTCCTCATCTTTTTATTGGACACCGATAATAGAAACTTGGATCCACATTTATTTTTCAAGACACTGCCACGTGTTCATGTGAAATGTATCCGATTATTATGTGTCTAAGTCGAGAGCGTCCGTAGAGTGCAGACATTCGGATGACGTAAGACATGTTTGCTTATTTGTCCTCTGTGCGCTTTTCCATTGGTGTGGGCTGCACAACCTGGGCTACTGTTTATACTGTGCTATATTTCTACTCGCGTTGGAAACGTTGGTCCGCAGGTTCTCACCCATGTAAATCTGCGCGTGAGTGTGTGTTGTGTGTGTGTTGCACAAAGCCTCTATCAGCATGATTACACAGCTGTAGACGACACAATGAGCTCCATTCATTGACGACTACAAGCGTCCATTTTCACCTTGGCAAGAGTTTTGTACGCGTGTGCATGGGTGGCGTGTGTGTAATAGTCAAAGAAAAATCTGACCGGTTTCGTGTCTTTTTTGCTTTTCAATGTGTTTTAATCAATGTTCAACAGCTCTCATTTCTTTAGGCCTTTTGTTTTGTCAGTGACACATGAAGAACTAACTGAGCTGACCTTACCTTGTTGACCCTAATTACCGGAACGGGTGTTTTCTCTTTTGGAAGAGGTCGATGCCTTCCCCCCTTTCGGGTCTGTGCTCTCAGTCACTTTGTTTACACTCAATGTTTCATATTGTTTCTTCTCTCTAAATGTGCCTTGACTGGAAGAGCGTCTTTCGAGCACAGTGAAGTCTGATGTGCTGGGTGACAGGGCGGATTTCTGATCTCACAATGCACTGCTGTTACTGTTACTTTCCTGTAAGGAAAAACTTTCATCAACTACTGTAGTAGGATTACACCACATCAACCCGAAACTCAAAAGTTTGTGATGGGATTGGGCACTGAGCAAGAATGGGAAACTTAGCTACTGGAGGGCAGGGGGGGGCACAATTTTTCATTATTGCTTCTGGAGAGTCACATTGGAACACACACTTCCGAACTAAATGTGTGACGATAATTTTGTTTTATATATGGACAAAATACGTGCATATGTACCAATTACCTGCTCTTACTATATTTCATTTTTGGTAATACGTTTTCAATACATTCATAAAAGGTCCACCATCCTCACACATCAACAAAGGTTCTGAAGCAAACAACAAAATAACCACATACTGTAAATTATTTTTATCCAGGGCTCTCACATAAAATTACAATTCGAAGAAGGCACAATACTGCTAAACAAGAAACCAACATTATGCGCAAGAACTCATTTTGTTTTTTTAACAAAAATCAACTCACTCAATTTTTTTTTTTTTTATTATTGAGGCCATGTGTTTGTCCTGCATATCATTCCAAAGCCGCAACATTTTTTAGGCCTACTCACGTTTTAGTGTAGGGCAATATAATACTAAGTGCAAATGCAACCAACACGTTTTCCATCTACTGGTCATCATTGATATTACAACTTAAAACTACAGTCGGATTTTTTTTTATATTTTGGATTTTTTTCTGGAATTTTTCCTCCGCATTTCCTCACATTTTTTTTTTTTTGTGGAAAACGTACATTTAATGTGTATCAGCATTTTTAGAAGTATTATTTTAACATTAACTGTGGCGTTCCGCCAGAAGGCACCGGTGTTGTCGTGCTCGCGCGTGCATAGTGGAAGCGGGCAGACCAGTCTGACGTTAGCCGAAATCCACCGATTTGAGGTGAAACCCAATTGTCGCGAGCCTCAACAGATTCATAGGGCAGCAACACAATGTGAAGCTTCATTGCTAGATTATCATGCCCGATAAAGCTCAGACAACAGTGTGATCACGAAAACCTGTGTTTTGATTCTCGTGATACTTGTCTGAGTCATTGAAGTCGGTGTATTTCGTTCATTTCAGTTTATTTGACTTAACGATCAACATTATTGCTTGATATATTGCAATCTAGACCATTTATATATTGTGCAATGAACCTCACGATCGTTACAGCTGAAATAAACCCGATGTACACATATCCAAAGACCACAAGAGAAAAGAACAACAGGCCCTTGCACAATAGCATGGTGAAAAAGGAATATGTTACACTGCAGAGATTCATACCAACACTCATGCTGACTCAGTACTTAAAAATGCAAAACAGTGGACCCCTACTATTCATGGGGGATATGAAGCAGACCTGCCTGCAAATGTCAAAAATCCATGTATAATTGAGGCCCACTGAAACATAGTAGGCGAGGAAGAAAATCAATGATTTTCGACGCAGGAAATTCTTCCACAAATGCTGATTAACATCTAGCCCGTTTTCCACGACATGGGGTTGGGGGCAGGGGGGCACAAATAAAAAACAAAATGTAAAAAATGTGAATAAAAATAAATACATTTAAACAAATCTAGGAATATGCGAATCCGTAACTCTGGTTTTCATCCCACATTACGAAAACATGCATGGCAGGTTAATGAAACACTCTAAATTGTCCCGAGGTGTGATTGTGAGCGCGGATGGTTGTCCGTCTCTGTGTGCCCTGCGATTGGCTGTCATCCGGTTCAGGGTGTCCCCCGCCTACTGCCCAAAGACAGCTAGGATAAGCTTCAGCACGCCCGCGACCCTTGTGAGGATAAGCGGTTAAGAAAATGGATGGATGGATGGATGGATGGATGGATGGATGGATGGATGGATGGATGGATGGATGGACATCCCCTTTAAGGATTAGGTTCAACAACAGGTGGGATTTTTTCTTGAAATGTCAAAGGTATAAATTACAATGCATGGTAAAATCCGTATTCAGGATGCTTTGAGCGGTTAAACTAAAAAAAAGAAAAGAAAATAACTCAAAAACCGGATGTGCAACAATAAAAGGAACGAAAATCTTTAAAACCCATAAATCCATCTCTGATTAAAACTTACTATTATAGAAACACTTTGAGAAAGTGCACAAAATTTTTTTTCGTCTATTCTAGGAGAAATAAATCAGACAAATGCCCAAAGAGTTAAATTGTCCTGGTTGGCATAAGCCATCAAAGGCATTCCTGAGCTGTGTTGTGTATCTAAATCGAAAGTTTGCCCACTGGATGACTGCCACTGTATGTTCAGTCAGATGTTCTCAGGCATCAAATATGTTTCCTGGATCACCGGGAACTCCATTCTCACACCGCCAAACCCCCTCACACACAGTCAAAACACGAGAGGAAGACAAACATGACAGCTATTTCTATTCAAGCTTTTGTGTTGCTGCAAATCGACTGGAAGTGTTAGCTTAGATGTACGGCTCTGACTTAAACTAAAGCATATCCTCGACTGTCTACCAACCTGCGATTAGCCACTTTTTGAGGTCGATAAAACTGGTGAAACTCCATCCCTTATTTTTTTCCCTGTATATTTTTTAAAGAGAGCTCATAGTGTCGGTCCCAGCTCGCGTTTTGTGAGAGACGTGCGGCACACTCTGGACTGGGCATCCGGTGGCACGCATGTCGTGTTGAAATATCTTCACTGCTGTTACTCTTCATTTGCGATTTTTTTTTTTTAAATTGAATTAAATTGTTTTGCTCTTCAAAGCAATTACACCAAACAATGCATCTTTAAAACAAAAGATGTATTGCTTTTCATGAAGGCTAATCACTTCCATCTTAGAAACAACGCACATTTATTCCGTATGAACATCAATGGCAATTGCATGCCGTCTACACTGACACTTAGAAGGAGCACATAATGTTGCTAACTGCTGGAGAGAACGTTTGAAGTAAAGACAAACCACAACAGGACAATGTAGCTTAAGAAGAGGCCAAGACACTGAAAGAGTACAGCTATTCTGAGCATGAATTTGTACCACTGTCTCAACTAATGACTCAATAGCAGGTCATAGGTCAATGGATATGAACCCTTCAACACCCCACATTCACAAACGTGCGCTTGATGTTGAGTGACAGTTCGGATTTAGACCGAGGGGTTTATTAACTTGAATCGATCTTTTTTTTCAAGAACCTGCTTGACATCCGCCTCACTCACGATAAGCTCACAGCGGGGTTGCAATATCTGACATTTTGAAATTAGAATCTTCTACCTCCAGTGAGATTTTTGACAATTGTTCTCATTTTAAGACATTTTCTCTACATGCAGTATGAAAAGCACACCCGCTAGCATGCTCACCGTGTTGCACCATTCGGGTAGCAAAATAAATAGCTTTAAAGCACACATTTGGGGTGTCAGGACACAAAGACTGTCAGAGCAGTGTGGCAGCAGCGGAGCTGATGACTGACATGGGGAGAGCGTTGGGAATGTTCAACATTTCAATCCAAGCCAGATGCTTTTGTTGGTGGGGTCATTCGGGTTTGTTCTGTGGTCAATTTTTTTTTTTTTTTGTATTGTATGTATTGCCAAAATGTGGAGGAAAAAAAAGGTGTGGTCATTAACGGTCCCATTTTTCCCCCCACAAACTTCTTCGAAATGTCCTCATGCATTCTACCACCAAACAAGCAGACAAAAACAAAATGAGAGTGTGCTACTCAACCTATTCGCCAAGTCGATCTCTCAAGATCAAGCTTTAATGACACAGTAATTCATTGACGACGTTTCCATTTCTGTGTGTCTGTCTTTCAGTCTGACTGTGTAAACTATGTGAAGATTGTCCACCACTATAATCGCACCCACCTGTACGCCTGTGGAACCGGAGCCTTCCATCCCACTTGTGCCTTTGTGGAGGTGGGGCACAGGATGGAGGTGACTACATTGAAAAACATCCATTCATTTTTCCATTGAGCTTGTCCTGATGAGTCACATATTATATATGAGTCAGACCCGACACCAGCTGACTTTGGGGAGGAGGCAGGGCACACCCTCCCTGAAAAAAAAATGTTTGTTGAATTTACTTCGTTTTATTCGATCAAGAGGTTGCATGAAATACAATAATCTGGATCCATATATATATATATTTTTTAAGTAGACTATACATCCACTTGAAAAACTGCACCTGGATCCAGAGGATTTTATTTTGGTGCAGCCGCTTGCCAAAAAAAAAAAAAAAAAAAATCGAATGAATTCAACACACCATTTTCAATGCTGGACTGGTCAGGCACATATAGACAAACAGCCATTCATTCTTGCGGACAATTAACTTGAGAAGTATGTTTTTGGTATGTAGGAAGGAAGAGGAGCACACGCGGAAAAGCCTACGCCAGAGAACATTGAAACTCCACACACACCAACGGAGATTCAAAATGGTGTCGTGAATTTACTCAATTTGACTTTTTTTGGTTGCCCACAATAAAGTCATCTGGATCCAGATACATTTTTTAAGTTGCTATATTGTCTACTTATCTGGATCCAGATAATTTTATTTGCTGCAACCACTTGAGGAAATAAAATTGAGCAAATTCAAAACAGCATTTTTTCGCCCCCAGTTTGAACCCGATCTCCTGACTATGAGGCAGATGAGGCACCCTGCTGCATCAAAAAAGCAACAGAGATTCTATCAATGCTCCTGGCTAAAGACATGATCCTCTTTTCATAACTAGTTACATAAGGCTCATATACGGATCATCCAGCATCACAGTTAGTAGTAGAAGCACGGAAGAAGGAAAATAATAAATAGAAACAAAACAGATATTGAAACATTATCTTTGTGCCTGTACAAGTAGTTTTACCACAAAGAAATAAATATCAACAATGAACAGTCCAGTAAATAGTCTGTGGCTTGTATACAGTGGTAAAGGTACCGGTAAAAAGAAATGGTGTATACTGTATACTGTTTGTGTTGAAGACCATTTCCTTGTGTCCGTCCTGCCAGGACCACATCTTCAAGATCAACCCATCGAACATGGAAGACGGCAAAGGGAAAAGTCCATATGATCCTCGCCATAATGCCGCATCTGTACTCATTGGTAACTGTGACATTTTTCACTCACACTTTATATTTTGAAGGCTTATTCCTGATTACTTTGTCTTCTATGTCAATGGTCCCCAACCTTTTTTTTTCCCCACGGACCGGTTTAATGTCAGACAGTATTTTCAGGGACCGGCCTTTAAGGTGTGACGGATAAATACAACAAAATAATATGATATGACTTGCATGAAAACTGTGGTATTTTCGAAACATCATAATAAACACGAATCGTGACAAGACGAACGTTCTATCCGGCCGCAACACTCTCTGGTCGTTATGGTAACGTTTAAACGTGCCTTCAAAATAAGATACACCGCAAATACAAAGTGCATCAAAAATACGACTCACCATCGCCGCATATTATGCAGAGTGGGCATGGTGCGTGGGAATCTTCCGTTGCGATAGATCCGTATTTTAAGTAGGAAATCCTTATACAGTCTATTAAATGTAGCCTTCTTTTTCTTGAAAGTCGTAGGCTCCTCTTCTGTCTGCTGGCTGGGCCTTTTCCCCTTCCCAAAGACGTTTGTTTGTTTTTTACTCATTTTGCTAGCTTCTGGGTTTCATTTTTGCGGTAACCTATCGCGTGACCGAGAAGCGTGTCAAGAGTGACGTACTGTAGTAACAGACAATCCGGTCATTTTTCAAAATAAAATACATTTCAGATTCCAACATAAATAAAACGGAAGTAATGTAAGTTCTTTATTTTTTCTGTGCGGCCCGGAACCAAATGGCCTACGGACCGGTACCAGATTAACTGCTACTCTATATGATGTGTCTTAAACACATATGATACAAACGTACATAAAAGACCCTCAAAAGGTCATACAGTATTACACATTGTTGTTACAAAGAAATGCATTCATTGTGTTTCCAAGGCGATGAGCTGTATGCAGGTGTAGCTACGGATTTAATGGGGCGGGACTTCACCATCTTTCGAAGTCTGGGCAGACGTCCCTCCATCCGCACGGAGCAGCATGACTCACGTTGGCTCAATGGTGTGTTTTCACTCTCACGTGACACTTTTTTCATGATAGACACTCATAAACGTTGACTGACATTGGTTTGTTCCTCCTGATTTGTGTACCAGAGCCCAAATTTATCGGTTCCTTTTGGGTCCCAGAAAGTGAAAACCCTGATGATGATAAAGTATTTTTCTTCTTCCGGGAGACGGCGGTGGAGGCCCAAGGATTGGGGAGGTCGACTTATTCCCGTATTGGACAACTCTGCAGGGTAAAAGATTGTTCTCTGTCTTGTTCGCAAATCACGTTGCAGTGAAGCCAACAGTCCAATGGGATTGCCCTGAGGAAGTTCTTTTTACGGTTCTATTGCCCTTATCACTTATCACTCCCTCTTGCCATCACAGGAACCCTTTTGTGGTGGCATAACAATCCCATCCCGCTTCTTTCCCCTCAAAAAAAAAAAAAAAAAGCTGATCTCTCAAAATCGAAAATGATGCCCAGTACCATTCAGGGACATTTGATTTGAGAGTTTACTTAATTGGAAAAAGACTAACCGATGTTCATTTCCTGATGTCAAAAGAGTGTTTGAGGATATTTTCGCGGTAGGTGAAAATAATTGCGCTGAATGTGAATGTGCTTTCATTGAAACAGAATGACATGGGCGGTCAGAGAAGTTTGGTGAATAAGTGGACGACATTCCTCAAAACCCGACTGATCTGCTCGGTACCGGGAGCCGATGGCAGTGATACTTACTTTGACGAGCTGCGTGAGTGTGATTCAAACAATTTGTGTGCTTTCATCACAAAGCATTGACAATGTAACGTTATAGGGGTGAAAATGTAAACGAGGTACGTTGAAAAGAGGTTCGACTGTAGTCTGGTTTTGTCTGGCAGTTTGTGTCTTTTACTGACTTACGGTTGTAAAGATATAGTTTGTGATTATATGTACACAGGTTCATATTGGTCAGTTGCGGTGCCTCTTTCAGTCCCTGTTGCCTGAAAGATCATTCATCAATATTGTTTTAAAAGGTTATCTGATCCAAGGTATTTCAGGTAGCAGTCAGATTTTTCATTTCTAGCCTAACAGGTGTGCCAGTGTCCGTGAATGGCAAATCCTCAGTTTGAGACCACATGGATCTGGTCTGGATAGGTAGATAGATGAATGTCTTGGGGCACAGCGCTTACTCAAATGTCTGCGGAAGTTAGCTAGACGCAGCCACAGGGCGTGTATCTTTCTTTTAACCCCTGACCCCGGAACCACCTTTGAATTGTGCGCGTCCATCCTCAGGCGATGTATTCCTGCTGCAAACGAGGGACAGAAAGAATCCTCTGGTCTACACAGTCTTCTCCACTTCCAGGTCAGAGTCCATTGACGGACGGATGGTATTTGTGCACGCATGAGCTTGTGTGTGTGTAGGCTTGCGTGTTGAGGCATCTAACGCACCTCTCCCTGTCCCCCAACAGCAGTGTATTTAAAGGCTCAGCTGTGTGTCTTTACTCCATGAATGACATCCGGAGGGCCTTCCTGGGGCCGTTTGCTCACAAAGAGGGGCCCAACTACCAGTGGGTGCCCTTTCAGGGAAAAGTGCCTTATCCCCGCCCAGGAATGGTATGTCAAAAACATGAAAAACCTCCTGATAGAACTGAGCGTGTATTGCCTATAATTCTTTGCAACCTGATCAATCTCTTGAAATGACCTCTGCAAAGCTTAAATAGTGAACAGAAGCGAAAATAAACCGCGAAGTGCCATGTTTGAGTTTGCTTGTGTAATCGTGGAGAGCAAGAGAGCTGAAACTGCTGCCCTGTTAACAGCCAGTGAATTCACGTTGCAACATCCCATCCGGTCAACATGAAAACGACAATCGGCCAATAACACAAATAAAAATTATAAGAAGCATATTCGTTTGAATCAAAGTGAGTATAAAGCCATCGTCGCTAGCTGACATGTACTGCCTCCACTGCCAACATGGTAGCAAACAGGGAGGAGCTAGTTTCAAAAAGCGCGATCATCGTCGACAACTAGTTCAGCAATTTTTCTCAACCGTTCTTGCGAATTTTTCAAAAGAGTAAAGAAAAAAAAAACCCAGATGGCATAAGCAGAATCATTCTCATCAAGTTAAGTCAACCGTGCGTCAAACATTCCCAAAGGCATCGGCGTCCATTTATACATCGGAAAAGGAGTGATTTATCCACATGTTCGTCGTATTTTTGCTTAGGTCACCTTGCCTCACCTTTTCAACTTCACATGAGAAAAGCGCGCAAGAGCTAAAAATGCTCTTTGCGTACAGACTGCCGAGAATTTTCACATTTATGTGATATGTCACAAGAATATAATTTCATTTATCTGGCCCAAGAATTAGGTAGGGAGGAGTAATGGTGAGTAAACTGCGAGAGGGCCTTTCTGAAGCCAGAAATTATTACGTAATTAAGTCGTGTTTCTCTCGAGGAATCCGTACAAGTTTGCACTGTTGTCCACGCAAGCACATATGCATGAAGGCGTTCGTAGGGCGATCATCGTAATCCCGAACTACCGTGCATTTCATGTGTGTTGCCCGACTGAGGACGGGTCTGACAACCCCCACCCCCTCCGACCCCCTTTTTAAATTGATACATGGGTCAGCAAGAACGGGCAGTAGAGCATCACCTAGTGGTATAAAATAGAATACACACCAAGTCCTGTACTGTCATTGCAAATACGAATGTTGATGCAACAAAATGTGGTTTGTAGCTCCGTATTAATAACACCAACTAATAACCGGTGGATGCTGGTTAACTGTTCCTTCTACCGTTGCCATCATGTCCCTGGCAAAATAATATGCAATAAACACAAATTTTCGGATCAAATAAATGTCGAGAATTTGCATAGTTCCCCACACAGTGGTTCAAGTTACATAAAATACCTCAAACCTCAGTAACCAAGGGCCTACAAGAGGAGATGGAAATTCAGAAACACGTTGCAGCGCTACTTTAGTCGACATCATTTGATTCCGTGGTGGTTACGGTGCTTTTGTGTTGCAAGGCATGCAGTGTCAGCAGGTTTTGTTCTGCAGCCTCTCAGCTTTCTTCCGCGCTTGAACAACCTCCATTGTGTGGCCTCTGGATTGTCGTGGTATTTCACTTACAGTAATAACCTCTCATCTCATAATGAATCCACCATGTTAGACAATTGACTCTTTATTGTTTGCAGCTGGAGTCGCTGATAGTGTAGCGTGTTACAATTGCCTGTCATTGATTTCCCACTCAGTGATGGTGTGAATATGAGTGTGAATGGTCTTTTGTCTCTGGAATGAATGCGCCTTAAAATTGACTGCTGATCATGCCAGGACAGATGTAGTTCACCTTTTTAAGTACCCGTAGCGATCGGCTTCAGCTCACATATGACCCTGAATGGGATGAGCAAGAACTGGATAGATGGTTTTTGGATGGATGGACCAATCGATCGAAAGCCCCTTTCACACCACCACCACCATTTTCCCTGGGTCACTGCTCTTTCAAAATGGAACTGACACAGAATACGGGACGATGATGATGATGATGAGTCAGCAACTTTCCTGCTCTGGAGATCATAGCACACCTGAAAAAAAATGTATATAAAATAAATAAATACAAATATATAAATAAATTATGCATACATATATATATATATATATATATATATACACACACACACACACACACACACACACACACGCACACGCACACACACAGACACACACAGAGAGCGAAAGTAAGATATATTTATTTGGTTTTTACTTCCAATAGTGTCCCAGCAAGACCTTTGGCAGTTTTGAGTCTACCAAGGGTTTCCCGGACGACGTGATTCAGTTTGCACGTCACCACCCTCTGATGTACAACCCAGTGTACGCCATGACCAGACGGCCAGTCTTTGTCAGAACCAATGTGGACTACAGCTTCACCCAGATCACTGTGGACAGGGTCAACGCTGCTGACGGACAATATGATGTCATGTTTATTGGCACAGGTAAAATCGTTGCGCTCAGAAAAAAAAAAAAGTGTAAATCTGCTAACATTTGAGTTGCGTGGTAACTCACAAATTGAAAAAAAGAAAATTACACACAAACACCTGTGAAAGAACAACGAGCCATGTCAGTTAGAATTTATATTTTTCGTTTGGTGTTTTATTGTTTAGACAAAGGGACAGTACTCAAGGTCATCAATGTGCCCAAGGAGAGTTGGAACAACATGGAAGAACTTCTGTTGGAAGAGCTGGAGGTCTTCAAAGTAAGAAAAGACGATGATAAATAAACTGTCGCTTATCGTTAAGCGTTCTATATTTCCTCATTTTTCAATTTCCTCTGCTCCTTAGGATGCCTCGTCAATCATCGACATGCAGATCTCCTCAAAACGGGTAAGTCCAATTAGGTCTTTGCGTCAAAACATATGTCGTCTCTAATGTGTCTCTGTGCTCGGTCGCCACAGCAACAACTGTACGTGGGCTCCAACACAGGCATCGCCCAGGTGCCCCTCCATCGATGCAGCGTGTACGGGAAAGCCTGCGCTGAGTGCTGCCTGGCCCGAGACCCTTACTGCGCCTGGGACGGGACATCCTGCACTCGCTACCTTCCCAACACTAAAAGGTCTTTTTTTTTTAATTTGACAAAAAATGTAGTGAGGTAATAACCAATAACCAATTGATTGCTTATCATGTCAATATGCATGTATGACTGTAATGTTTTTAATTATTGAATCAAGTGATTTTCTTTTTACAGGCGTTTCCGTCGCCAGGATGTGAGGAATGGTGATCCCAACACTCTTTGCTCAGGAGGTAAACATGTCCAGTAACCTGCAAGAATAACGATGCAATGATTTGTAGTCATCCTAGAGACCGATGCACTTTGGCACAGATCTGTTTCAAGGTGGTCACATGATCTTCCTGCATTCTTCTTTCCTTTTCAGCCCTTGACTAGAATTTTTTTTCCCCCTCTACATCATGGGTTGTTAAGTACAGTATTGTCTTTGTCCCTTTGCTGCGCTCCGCAGACCACCACAAGCACCACGTGGCCGAGAAGAAGCTATACGGAGTCGAAGGAAGCAGCACCTTCTTGGAATGCATCCCCAAGTCCCTTCAGGCCCGAGTCACTTGGACCTTTCAGAAACAACGAGACAAGCCACGAGAAGAGGTAAGAATGTCCAATTGGATCAAGCGAGAGTGGCTGCCTTTACAGCAGCTCTTATACTTTTTGTTCTTCTACTTTCTTCCTTTCATAACTTTGCTGCTGTAAATTGGAAATGTCTCCATTGTGAGACGAATAAAGGTTTTCTTCTTCTTATTCTTAAACATACGCCATATCAAGATGATGAGAATTGTGTCGCGGTACTTGGATTCACTTTCAGGATGTTTGAGCACCCCCAAAAATGGGCTGAACACGTCTGTGTTGGTTAATTAAAGACTCAAACTTTGCCCAGAAGTGTGAATGTGACTGGCAATGTCTCTGTGCCTTGAGATTGAGAGGTGACTTGTCCAGGGTGTACCCCGCCCGATGCCCATAGTGAATTGGAATAGACTTCAGGTCACCTGTGACCACAGGATAATCAACAGAAAATTGATGGATAGATGAAGACATCTACTCGCTTTGCGGTCTGTAGTACTGTATACATGGAAACTGATGTGTAGAGTAATTGTTGCTGCGCTGACTGTCTGTAAACGGTGCTAAGTTGACTATCCAATCATTGCATGGGCACAGACTGAAAAGCGTACGCACATGCTAATTTTTAGTATCATAATCAATTTCAAAAGGTGAGAGATACCACAGAAGACGAGGAGAAAATTGACAATCGTGTGCTCATTGCTTAGTGATACAGCACAGGACAAGCATAAAAATATGTCCACCCACCAGCTACCAAGTGGGGGAACTGGTGGATTAGCTGGTCAATACGTTGCGGTTGCAAAGTGGTCTCCGTGACATTTTTATCGTGGTGAATGACTTGGTTGACACTGTTTTATAACACACAACACGACCAGTCACTTCTCAGTGTTGATCACACACATGAGTTTCTGATTGTAGATCGTGGAGAAGGTGAACAATTACGATTGTCGGCCCCAACCGCTTTCCAAGGAGATTGGGGGCAAACATTCCTCATATACTGTACCACACCCCAAACCACTGGATAATTGCTCATGATTATTTTTTATTTTTTTTTAGACAACACAAACAGTTGGGCCTCTGCTGAATGTGCCAGGACGAGAGGAAAACCCCTCAAATTCGTCCTGACTATAAGCAACGAGTCACTCCACAGTAGAAGTCCCATACAAAAGATTCAGGCCGCATTTTTGTTTTTACCGAAAATGATACATGTCCAAGCAATAGTGCGTTTCTGACCACCCTCCTAAAGCAACTCAGCCAAACTCAAAATGATGGCTAAAGTGAAGTGAATTCACGAGATCTTGTCCCTCATCCCATTTCTAGGTGCGTCTGGACGATCGGATCCTGCAAACAGACCGAGGGCTCCTGATACGCCGTGTCCTGAGGAGGGACACGGGTGTTTACCAGTGTCACGCCATGGAACACGGCTTCACCCAAACCCTGCTGGGCATCACTTTAGACGTCATCCAGTCCACGTCGTCTCACATGCCTTCCGAGGCCCCTTCCCGAGCGGAGCCTCGCAGCGCTGGAGGGCCTCTGGTGGCCAACCCAAAGCTTTGGTATCGGGACTTTATGCAGCTGGTGGACCATCCAAACCTGAACACGGTGGACCAGATTTGCGAACAAGTTTGGGCCCGCCGGAATCCCACCGGTGACCGAATGGAGAAGAAGGTTCCCGCCGCGGGAAGAGACTCAATGTCTCCTGGTCCCTCTGTCCGGCCCGCTAATAAGAAGTGGAAGCATCTCCAGGAGCTGAGGAAGGGGAGGAACCGCCGGACCCACGAAGGAAAACAGAACCCTCGGGCGCCACGGAGCGCGGGGGAGTAACAGCAACGAGAAGAACGAGTGGGCTCGGCAGAACTGATTCAAGTAGATTTTTAGAAAGGGACTCGGACAACTTTTGGAGGAGGTCAAAACATACAAACACACCCATGCACACAAATGCGCACACATACACAGCCCCAAAGCTCCTCCTCCAACGTGTATATTTAACTGTGGAGTTCCTTGCATGTGTTGAGTTATGTCCCACATTCCTCCTGCACGATCCCATCGCAATGTGCCGTTCTTGTCGTTGAGTCGACAAGCAGGTACATAAACCACAGCCATTTGATAGCTACTGTATGAATCCACGTACACTCGTTTTTCAGTACCGGAGAGTGGGCCACATCTTTGGTCGAGTACCTTGCGACAAACTCCGTGTTATTGACAGTATCTAGACGATAGTGTGAACTCTATGCCGTGAAAGGATCCCGGAAAACTTCGAGATGAACTCACACCTTTCTTTACCCCTTAAAGACTTACGGTGTAGAGTATAAAGTGGACATGACGGCGGTTCGGAGACACAACTGGAATATACTTCTACAACTGGAAACGCACGCGTGCATGCAGAAAGATGGACTACTTCATGTGATGTTTTTACAAGACTCAGCATTTCCTTTTGTTTCGTCACTCAAGTCGTCATTACATCGGGGCGGAGACAGTAGCAGGGGGGCAGACTGTGGGTTTGTGGGGCACACAGAGGCACACGGCAGCCAAGTGAAACACACCATACACGTGTGGTGAGTTGTTGATGATGTGTTGCCAGTTACCAGATGAAACCACTGCAGAGTGAGGAGAAAGGCGGGAAAACTACTGGCTTTTGAATAATGTTAGCAGAAAATTTGGTGTTTATACTACATATAAAAGAGTGGATCTATGAAGGAGTATATGGGCCACACTAGGAAAAAAAAACAGAGCTAGTGGTTAGCAAATCTGGGGTACACTGGATTATGAGGCACAGCTTCAATGAATGGCCTATTTTGTCTTTTTTTTTTATACATTGGGCGCACCGCATTATAAGACGCAACCTACAATGCCTTCTTTAGATGAAGCTACGCTCAAGGAAACGCCAACAGAACGATCAGATGTCAGTAAAACTTCTTTAATAAAGCAGCGACACAGTTCACTTAACCAACAGCAAGTTATAACATTGACTTGTTAACGTTGAACTCTCTTGCCGCTGCTCTATGTCCGTGTTCAAATGCGTAACCGATCGATCGCTTTAAGGTTGAACTCTGCGTTGTCAGCATGTCTCGAGCAAGGAGCCATTTTGGAGTCAAAATATTACCGCAATGACCATAAACAAGGCGCATCGGATTTTAAGGTGTGCTGTGAACTTTTAAGAAAATGGAAGGCTTTTAGGTATGCCTTTTGGTGCGGAAAATACAGTACACTGTCTCGCACCCATCGTTAACTAGAATGTCAATCCATTTTCTGGACAGCAGCTTGTCCTGTTCAGGGCCATGGGGAGCTGGATCCAGCCGATTTTAGGTGGGAAGCAGACCACACGACGACTTGGTTGTTAGTTAATCTCCAAGGCACACCATGAGACAGACAGACAACCATTGCCACTCACGGCTCTATTTGCATGACCGGTGTAAATCTGCTGTGCCGCGTGGTGCAAATCGGTGCAGAAACATGTTCAACGAGGTAATTTTGCAGATGCGCGCAAGCTTGTGTGTTTTTCTCAAAAAGATGGTTTGCACCATTATGGGCGTGAACACAGACGAATCTGTCTGCCTGTGACCCGATCAAATTCGCCAAAATAGCATGAGGCCACGCGGTCCGAGCAGGCGAAACGGACTTTCTGCTAAGTGGGAACTGAATAAACGCTACGCTATGAGGGAAAAGTTGTGATGTCACTGGAAACAAAAACAAAGTTGTAATAGGAGAAAAAGGATGTGCTGTCATAACACTAAAGTCATAATACAATGAGAATAAAGAGAAAAAAAATTCTAATAGCTGGACTTTAGTTTTTTACTTTAAGTAACTTGACAAGATCCTCAACAGTCCTCATGATAAAGCTGCTATGGTTGTACTAACATTTTACTCTGTTAGTGTTTGTCCCTTTTCATGTGGCCCTTCTACTCCTTCCGAAGCAAAAGATGATATGCTACCTGGACAAAAATATTGGGACACATGGCTGTTACATCTAGGAGGTGAAAAATGAAGCAAATGTGTAGTTGTTTTGTTTTTTTTTTTGCAGCTATCAAAGCTTCCACTCCTGCTGGTGAAGTCCAAGGTCACTCACATTGGACCCGGGACAAAGATGAGGCTGTTCCTCCACACCAAACTCATCCATGCATGACGTTTCTTTGCATACCAGGGCACAGTCATGCTAGAATAGAAAAAAAGGTCTTTCCCACTAAGATGGAAATTGTCCAAAATGGGAACAATTATAATTAATATTCAGGGGAATTAGTGGTATGACTCAGTATGTTTTGTCTCAATAGTGTATGACTTAAGTAACAACATTGCGAACCTCACTCTAATCTGATCTTAATTCAGTGTGTTTTATTTCTTCAATGGAAAATGAAACCCAAGATGACAACTCATGGTTGTGGGCACACTACCTACATTAACCTTGTTATTATTATTATGATTATTGTTATATTTATGAGTGTGACTATAATTTTATTTTTATTCCAAGCGGTACTTCATGGCCTCTCTCTTTTTCAGATGTCGTTGCATATGTTGATTGTGATGAATAAAATTGCAAATCTTGAGTGTTTCTCCATTCGCTTTGGCAAAGATTTAGATCTACGAGGCAAATCTCACTTCGTTTTTTTCTAACCTCCTCGGTTGAATGAATGTCACTTTCACTCACCCGAGGAGGGAGGAAGTCTACGAGATGTTGTCCCACACTGACCTCTAGTGGCCAGTACGTGCTGACTCAGAAAAAGTCTGGTACAGAGGGTCACTAAACGTTTTGAAATTGAGCGCAACATCTCGGGTACACACTTTTGAAATAACAAATAAGTATTCCAATAGTTATCAGTAATTGATTTAACAATGTAGGAATCAATCTAATATTGATAATTAAGATAATATCGACAGGCAACACTTTATTTCTGTAAATCTCTGCAAGTGCATGTTTACATTTTCAAATGAGAACTTAAACAACATTCCGAAGTAATGACAAGGTCCCGTCACGGGTGAGATATTTTTAGAACAGGCCAGCACGCTACTCATGGGGTCCTTGGGGGCTACCTGGTTGTTGAACCCTAGTCAAGTACAGTATGTCACACACTTGAACCCAAATACTAAGATAAATCGGCCTTGCTATCAATTCAAAAGTCTCATGTCATTACTAATAAAAAATGGTTGTCATCAAGAGAGAGGTTATTATTATTATATTTATTATTATTCAACATGAGACATGCACCTCTTTACCACCTGGTGGGGCTACCATCAACAATATCACCTCTGGTTTGATGAAGGATACACATATACCTGTGGACAATTGAGTTTGTGGAATGTGGCTGGAGAAACCCGATGAAAATCGCACATGGAAAAACATGTATGATCCAGACACTAAAATTCGACCCCAAGAACTCAAAAGCAGCACTCTAAATGTAATTGATATTGTAGCGATTGTGAAGCCACACACTTCCCAGCATGCTTGTAAATAGTTGTATTTAGTTTTATTAAGTTAAAGGTTGCTTTTTATTTGCTTTGTCATAGGATAGGCGGCTCAGATAATGGATGGATTGTATATGTGATGTCCTTGAGATGGAAGATCAAGAAACTCAAGGGTTCAAAGGAACATTGCAAGATGAATAAGTAGGAGTGCCATATAAGATGGAAGGTTGGGTTTAAGCAGGCAGTCAGTGTGTTGGGTGACTGGGCGTGAACTGTGGCCGATAGCAGCTGCTGAATGAATGTGCATCCTGTTACCGCTTGTGGGAATAAAGCAACTCAAGAGCATCAGCAACGGTCATCCTTTAAAAAAAACAAAAAACAAAAAAAAAAACGAGGGCATTGGGTTATTATACGGTAGTAAGACAAACTATATTTGGCAGCAAGTGCAAGGTTGTAATCCAGCGTTAACCTCCACCATGGTTCAAAACAGCACTTGTTCTTCTCATACCTCATGAAGGAGCAGTTAAAACAGCCACATGAAAAAGACGCTGCAGACATCAAACATCTGCATGCGCTTGTATTTGTTGGAGTGTTGGAAATAACAAGCCTCCTCAAGATCGGCTGGGACGTCTGATGACAGGCTGAATGCAATAACACCAGTGTACCATCTGCTTTTGTAGGAGGCAAAGCGCCACTGTGGAATCACGCTGCTTTGTTTCGACACATGTTCTTCACCACAACAACCATAATGATCTCGGGCAAAGTGGCATTACATCACTAATGAGTGAGGGCTTGACGTCTTTCATTTTAGATGTTGAGTGAGATGGATTTTTTTTTTTTTCTGAAATGTCTTAGCTATAAATTACAGTGCATAGTAAAGTCAGTACAGTATTGCGCAAGGTTTTGTAGGACAAACTTAAAAACAAAAAAGGAAAATATCTCAAAAACTTAATGTGCCGGGAAAAAAAGTAAAGATATGTTTTAAATCAGCGTCAAAATACTTGTTGGGACACATAAAGCCATCTCTGATTAAAGTTTTGCTGTTGACCAGTGTAAATGTAGGGAAATTTGCATATGCATGAGAAATGTTTCTGATAAGGAAATGAAAATCTCACTGATCATCATCTTCTACCGCTAATTGTTGAAAGTATGTGTCATTATATTTTTCGAATCATGGTTCTTGCAGATCTATGTGACAGATTTGGTCAAACTGGTTGTGTGCCATTGTAACTGCATGAGCATTGTTTCAAAATGTCACGATGCGAGGTGGTGGTGGACCCCAAAAAGCAGGCAGGAGGGAGGAGCAGGGTGAACTTGATGAGTTGTATTGATACACAGAGAAAACTAAATCCAAAACAAAGTCCTAAGAACAAAAAGAATCCAAAGTATCAAACAAAACCATGACTGAAGCTAAAAAACTATCAAAAACAGAAACATGACCAAAAACATGACCTAAACATGACAAACATACATGACATCAACAAAACAAACAAACAATGATCCGACAATGAGTGGTCGGGCGGGAGTCCTTTTATACAACTAATTACATAACGACCAACAGGTGTGCAGCTGCAGGGGGAGCCCTACAGTGCCACCTGTTGGTCCCAAACCGAAACATGACACAAAATGTAGAAAGAAATGTGTATGGCTTCTGTCGAAGTCGAACCCTCAACGTGAAGAAGAAAAAGAACATTCATGAAAGTGGAAATGAGATTACTCTGCATTTTGTGCAACACCATGGAAATCAAGCCATACAGTCCTGCTCGAAGTGGGTCATGTGCTAGTAGAATATTTTTGTGTGCACGCAGTTTCTTCCATATCGTTGGCTGGCCTTGCAGGCTATCTCATGAATAATGCGATGTAACAAGTACAATTGGGATGTCATAAAAGCTGTGGCACTCAAAGAACTGTGTCCTCATTTTTGTGGAGTCGAACACATTACATTAAAAATCAACTCTCAGTCGCTTCCCTTTCCCACGAGGTGTCCATGTTTTATTTTCCTTTAGCAATCTATTTGGGTTAGAGTAACCCGAGCCAAACCCTCACCCTCACAAGGACAAGAAAGCGGTGCTGTCTTTCACTGCTGGAGTCCATGTTCAGTGCTCATAGCATCAATGGAGACATGCCTGCAACAATTGCCTATTATAGGTACATCATGTGTAGTTGAATAGCTTGGTACCTCTTATGACCTCCCAAGAAACGATTTATAATTCACACAGTGGTTTGAACTGAGAACTAAATACGCTTCCTGGTTATGATACGACATATATTATTCCATCATGTGTAGCCTGTAACGATGATCCATTTGACCTCAAGAAAAATAGGCGCTGATAAATAGGAGCCTTTTGCTGAGGTAAAATGTTTCTGAAACATCACCCCTTTTGGTCAGCTCTCCCCCATTTGTTGATTAATCATCATTAGTCATTGGGGAGCCTGTAAATCTGTGACCCGCTCCCTGAGGATTGGCTTGGCATTCCTGGATCTTACGTGTTCAAACATAAAACTCTGCATTGCTTAATTGATTTCCTCCCTTAGCTCTGTGTGTGTCGCGATTGAAACCAAAGCACAGTGGAATACAGCCTAACATGGGCAGTCTAGGCAGGAAACCCTTATCTGAAGATATATGCTGAAACGGTCTAGTCCAGTTTGTGGTAATTCACTGTAAGGAATACAGCCTTGGGACATACAGCTTAATCATCCCATGAATGTGTCAAGAGTTGGACAAAAGCCCTTAGTTGTCCCTGAATCTTAATTCTTCATCTTATCAAGACACATGGATACTTTTACATTTCCAATTTGGTGGGAAACAATCGAGGAACATTCCATTTTCGCTTCCAGCATCACTTCAGAGCCCCGGTGCACAAAGAAAAGTCTGTAAAGGCATGCTTTGATGAATTCGGGATGGATAAGTAGGTGGAGACAATTGTTTTGTTGTACAGATGCTACAGGTGTTGCAAAAATGAAAACCAACAAGCGCAGTGCTTTCTTGAAATGGGACTGCAATTTGTGACACTCATTTTGGTCATCTGGCAAAACAACATTTCATTTTGTGATTAATGATATACAGTATATGTGTTTGAATAACTTGTTCCAGAGTCCAAAAGTTACCATCATAAAAATCTTTATTTACTGTAAAGGCAATGTTTTTAAGTTTAACATTATCAACCGTCATACAAGTGTAAAGCAGAAGTTTCCTTCTGAGACAAACAATAAAAACATTCTTTTAACACACTCTTAACATTTAGCCGGGGTAATAAAATTTCTCTAATCTTTTTTTTTAATTATTCTAATTATTTTCAAACATTAACTGCGACACAAATAGTAGTAAACAGGCAGTAGCTACTTAGCTAGCAGCTAGCACAAGAAGCGAATCTATCTTTAGGCAGTAGCTACTTAGCTAGCAGCAAGCACAAGAAGCAAATCTATCTATCTATCTATCTATCTATCTATCTATCTATCTATCTATCTATCTATGTCAAGGTACCATTGTATTTTTTCAGTGTTCATGTAAAATTAATTGAACCAATCTCACAAATAACAACTGCACCAAAAAAATCCACATTTAATGCTTTTAGATAGCATATTGGTATGTGACATGCTGAGTGAAGCGGTAATTAAATAGGAAGTAGGCCCTCAAATACGACTACAGGGCCATACAACACAGTCAAAGCTCACTATAGTTGATTCACTAATATAAAATCATTGCTGTTTGCTTACGATGAAACAATGGAATGCTCACTTTAAAGAGTTAGCAAAACATTATGAGAAAGTGGGTGCTTTCCTTTTTGTATTTAAAAAAAAAAAAGGGAAAACAGGTAGATGGTCTCAACATTTTGTTTTACACTAATACCTAAAGGGTTACATCGTATATTACATACACAAATACTGTACTCACAAAAATGCACGCTAGCAATTCTTACAGCGATATGCAATTAACAATATTCATTCTTAAGCATGTGTTTTCCATCTTATCTCGGTCAGCTCATGCTTCTATCTAAACAATTAGGGACAGAAAATTTGTAGTTGTTGCCTTCTACTACGTAAACAGGACCATTAGCTTCAGCAATCAGATTTTCAATTACCACATGACCACAGATATCAATTTTTTTAGATTTCGCATTTCTTTTTCATTAAGTACAGTTGGGTTGTGAATACAATAGCTTGTTTGCTTTTTGTTTTGTTAACTGATGTGATTGAGTAGTTTCTCAATTCACCATTTCGACTTTTTCCAGGGTTCTGATTGGCGAAAAGCTTTACCATCCTCCAGCACCACCTGTGGCATTGACAGCCTGCAAATGCAGTTTTACGGACAGTCAATTTTTTCAAATGGTGTCGATAGATATTTTTGAAAATCTGCTCAGTTAAAAAAAAATAAAATACTATCACTATTATGTTATAAAAGCAACAAAAGCTTCAAAAGCACTGCTGGACGAATACCAATCAAAGGACGGAGAAAACTTACAAGTTATCTCCACAAATAAACCACCAGAAGTTGTAAGTTGCACTGTTGTATAGATGCATCTGGGATAATTTAACAACTGGCACCCATTTGTGACACATTTTCAGGTAAAATAATTTTGGCAATTTGGCTTGTTTCAGTACATCACATTTTATCTTTCACCGTCCTGTCAAGCAGCCCCCTTTCCTCCTCCTAAAGGAGCAATATTTGCAGAGAAAACACCTTAATTGGAGTCTAATAGTCAGCATCACCGTATCCCAGACAAGGAAAACAAACACTGCAAGTGTCAAACGTGCTTTAGTGTGCTGGGACCACAGTGAAAACAGACCGTGCCTTAAAACGAAGAATTGTGTGAATGACCAAAATTTTAAACAAAGCAATGCTTCTATTATTATTTGACAATGTCTGATTGAAGTCTTTCATTTATAGAATAAAATCTTCCAGTTCCTAAGCCGTGAGAGAGCGTCCAGATTTGAGCATGTATCTATAAATACACATTGAAACTTGCTTAAGCAGTAACTATCACAATGAAAGTGTTAGGGCGCGACAGTCGACATTTCTGACAATGTCATGTCTACTTGTCCATGAAAGAAACAATACATATGAATATTTCTATTAAACAAGGACAATTCTGGCAACCGTTTCAACACATTACACCGATGGATCAATTAATGGATTATTATGACAATCTTCCAATGTTGACGACAAAGAATTAAGATCATTCCACAAGTGACATTTTAAAAGTTAGTTTAATCCATGGATATAAAAATCAGTCATGGAAAGTAATGAAGAGCATTTTTTCCATTAGTAGTTGCTTGGCTTTGCATTGTCCTGTCATCTGTCATCCTGTCACCTTGCGTACCATATTGAACCAAATAAGATGAAGTGGATCTCTTTCAGCATGATTGAAGGATTAATGAAGAAGGATTTCCATTTCTGGCTCCATCTCTGGAAAGTTCAGTGCTCAGTAGTGAAAACAAAGCAATGTGTTCATCATCTGTTGAACCATCAACATGTCGTTTCTGTGTTACTTTCAGTATTAGCTAGTTGAGCTAACGATGTCAGTGTTTTGGGTTAACATAAAGTGGAGACGGTGCTGATCTTAAACAGAACTGGACCGGCAAGTGAAATAACAGAACAAGGCCGTGGCCCATAAATACATAGTGAAGAAATCCAATGCTATATGTTGACATAGGCGATCTGTATATTGTCCACTTAAGACTCATGGATAGAATGTGCATTGTTGAAACTTACCCGGAGGCATGTACGGTAAATATGAAAAAAAAAAAAAGGGGGCGGAGGGTTGTCCGTCTTAACATCTGATACGCGCTAAATTTACAGACACCATGAAAGAGTATTTGAAACATTGTCCACATTGCCATCATGTTCAGGCCCGGTCTTTCCTCCAGATCACGACATCCATTTGGGGAGTGATAACCAGAACCAAGCATCTACACTCTATCGTCTATGTTCTCATAAATCCGACTCCAGCTATCCTGGTCCTACTGTCCCAAAATTGTCTTTCTTTTCTCTTTTATAGTTCCCCTCCTAAAGTTTTCTTCCCATCACTCCTGCCGTGCGCTAAGGTCCCGCGGTGTCCGGTTCCGCTCACTGGAACTCTTGCTGCGGGCCTTCCTGGCGCTCTCCTGAGCCTGCCGATACTTCTCCACCATGCTCTTGTGCTTCCTCCTCAGCTTCTCGTTACACCACATCCTCTCGCAGTACTCCTCCACATGGGGCAGATTGGACGGACCGATCGTCTGCATGATATCCTTGAACCACATACGCGACTGGCCGATCGGACTCAACCTGTTGTATGTGCTACACGGCATCCAGTTCCTGTAGCTTCCGGTCGATCTGTCTTTAAGTAGGTCAGAAAGGCCAGTGTTGTCCCGTGCCGTCAACTCATCCAAGGTGTCGCCCTGGAGGACTTCAAGGCTAAGTCGGGCGAGTGTCTGGCTGAAGCCGTGCTCTCTGGAACGGCAGATGTAGATGCCGGCATCTTGGTTGAGGAGGCGACGGAAGAGCAGGCCCTGCTCTGTAGATATGACCCGATCGTCCATCTTGACCTGAGTATGGCAGAGAGATAGATTTTGCTATTGTCAGTTAGGATGTATTCTTGCACTGTTCTGGGCCGTGCATTTCTGTCTCCTCATTGACAATCCTTGGCTAGTATTCACACACAACCACACAGAACAATTTTCTGACGATAGCAACGGATAGAGGAGTAAAGAGATTCAAACCACAATGTGCAGTCAAATTTCAATGCGTGCCAGACCAAGATAATGATCGTTCTCAGTTTGAGTATAACATTGAATGTGTCAGTGTTTATATTCCCTTCTTTTATTCTCACATCCTCCATACCTCAACACCAAGTCATTCTTGCGGTTCTATTCATTCATACCTCATCCTTCTTTGCTGTACCCCCTCATGCCCCCCCTCGCTTATGTTCCACACTTTTGCGCCGATGACTGTCGTGCGGTGCCAACACAAATATAGCAGCCTTGTCAGCAGCCCGGTGTTTATTTGCATGGAAACTTAGAGAGGTGCTAATGCCTCATACGGCTGACCGAGGTGCTCAGTTTTGACTGATCACTGTGGGCGTGGCCATATCATGTTCTAAGGCAGTGCTTCATGTGCCGCCACAATCACAGTGAATTTAACTCTTCTTGGCATGTGGTCAATTGTCTCAAACAAGACATTGTTTATCAAAAGAGAATTGTGCTTTCAAATATAATTGCTCAATTTCACCCATATGTCAAAACACTGCTGAATGAGTCAAGCGCGTGGCAAGGTTGCACACCCATCTCAGATTTTAAGGCAACCGCTTGCCAGAAATTACACAGCAGTCCAAATCTTTGCACCCCCTTGGGCCTCTTCCTTCCTGCCATCATATGATATTAACTAGAATGGCACTTAGTCAAGGGCTGACATCTACCTCCCCGCCAAAGTCGGTTAAAATGCTGTATCTTGGTTCCGCAATTTCTAATAGTCGGCCAGTTTATCCAGTTAGAGGCCTGGTGAAATCCGTTCCATGAAGAAACTCAAAAATAATGCCAAATTCAGGAGATCGGAATTGTTTGTGGTTTATATCAAGGACGATGACGAGGGTCAAATACGGTTTATTTTATCCATACTCGGATGGCTAAACTGTGAACAGCACCCTGTAACACCCCTTACCACACAGGAGAGTTATGCTTAGGATTCAAATTAAAACAGGACAGCAGAGTAGCATCTCAGTCCGACCAGCCCACCTGTGCAAGCAAGGGTGGTTTATAGGGAAGTACGTTGGACATATACTGTCGCAACCGAAAGCAGAAAACTCATCTCACCTCTTCCTTGCGGTCATCACGCTGGACCAGCCAGATGACAGAAGCTTGTGGGGAGCGAGGAACGCATTCCAGAAAAGTGCTGTTGTTCTCAGCGCCGTACACCACCCGGTCCTCCATCTCCTCCAGGTCCTCTGATTCCAAGCATAAACATTGGAAATGTTAAAGAAGGAAAATAGAAAGTGTGTGCAGTTCTGTGTAGCTATGAGTAATGCTCCGGTTCTCCAACAGTGTGTAATTTTTGCATGATTTTCAGATAAAACAGTTCCCAGGAATCTTAATAACAGGAACAGTTATGTTCACACAAAAATGAGTGTGTTATTGACTTGTAGTCAAAGTCGCATTTACCACTAAAATTCTGGTCCAAACATTGCAGCACCGGGTTTCCGTGCCTGATGTCCTGCCTTCGGAAGCGACGTTTACTGTTGGAGACGTATCGAGCGCAGGACGAGCCATCCCAGGCGCAGTAAGGGTCTCTGGCCAGGCAACACTCGGCGCAAGCCTTGCCGTAGGTCTCGCAACGGTGAAGCTTCACCTGAGCCACGCCGGCTGGGGAGCCCACATACAGGGATTGCTAATGAGCAAAAGAAGGGAGGGACAGCGTCAGCGGCAGCCCCCGCAAATGGCCTGTTTATGTGAGATTTCAGGATGATTTTGGATAGTAAGTAAAGGTAATCAATCGGACAAGGCCATATTACTTTGCCACTCGGTCAAGAAAGACCCCAATCAGAAACGCCAGGTCCTCACAAAAGCTGCTGAGGATACAAGGACTATCTCAAGGTTTGTGTTTTGCACTTGACTTTGACTTTTTGATGCACTTGTGCTAAAAAGAATATCCACAACAAAAATTAAGAGAAGAACATGAGAAGAACAGAACAATGTGGAATTTACAAATAATTTATTTGGATCCCCTTAAGGCTGTTGAAAGTGTCAAACCCGAGCAGTAAACAAAGGCTATATGTTGGGGAGGATTTGCCGTATGACCCGAGAGCTTCCCAAACCAATTCAAAGTTGAGAAGATTTGATGAAACACAGACGTGAACTTACTCTTTTGACTGAGATCTCCATTGATGTAATTGAGGTTGGCACCTGCAACAATGACAGCAATGAGTGCTTCAACGTATGCTAAGGCTGACAGTGCACTTTTATAAGAGCCAATGTGGCTCGACGGGAAGATAAGAACTAAGATAGAATTTAAACCAAACACACTTTGAAAACTTGAAGCTCCTCCAACGTGACCTCTTCCGTTTCCAGGCTGTTCCCTCCGTGAAGGGCGATGACCTTCAACACCGTACCAATGTCTTCAACAGAAGCAAACACATCATTCAATTTCCGGGCCTCATTCTTCACCAATGCAGTTTCTTTATTCAATCAAACAATGATTCATGGCCGGCTGGAAGGGAGAAACAAGTTTTACCCGTGCTGATGAACATAACGTCATACTGCCCGTCCTCTGCCTCGACGCGGTCCACCACGATTTGCTTGAGCTTGTAAGGAACGTTTGCCTTGGCCAGCACAGGGCGGCGTAAGGCGGGTTGCACCGGCCGCCACATCAGTGGGTGGCTGCGGGCAAACTGGAGTACGTAGTCGGGGAAGTCTTTGGTGCTGGCAAACTCTCTGCCCGGCTGGTTGGTGATTTTACTGGGACACTGAGCAAACGCAGGAGGAAGAAAAATAAATATTTATATTCCACAATGACTCAAACAAGGTAAGGTCCTTACATTGTGGTCCATTGTGTTTGATTACTTTTAAGACATTGATCTGTTTTAGCTTTCTCACTCTTAGATGACAGATAGATCTAAGTGGCTGCCGTTATAACGGTTTACTACTGGAGCCTATTAATTACTGTGAATGCGAATGGTTGACTGGCCATATATACCCTACGATTGACTGGTTACCAGTCCAGGGTGTACAGAAGTCTTAATTTTTCCTGACGTCAGCTGGTACAGTATAGACTTTAGCTCCCTTCGACCCAGTATAGAAAATGGATGGATAAATGGATGCATTTTCCATCAAAAGTGCAAATTGTGTCCAGACCAAAACACAGTATGTCAGCAAAAGTAAAAGTCTTTTTTTTTTCCAATCAGCCATTGCTGACATTCCATTGGCTTATTCCTTGGCAGAACTCAAAAATGCTCTCTTCTCCCTTGTTTGATTTTTGATCCGAAAAGATTTTCGGCTTGAGGCTTGTGGCACGTCCATCAGAGCTCCTTACTCGGCCGTCAAAAGCCAGCAGGAATGAAAAACAGACGGTCCGCATTCCGTTTTATTTTCATTCCAGAAAACTTTGATTAACGCTCCCTGTTTATTTTGGATACGGTGGCGTATTTCAGTGCGCACTGGACATGTTGTGGTGCACAGACATTTTTGATTCAACAGAAACTTCACATTAAACTTCATTATTATCTAATTTTGTCAAACTTCGCAGCCTCTGTCTGTCATGGCTAATAATTCTGGAATCATTTTCATAAATATGAATCTTACTTTTATTTATTGACCAAGATACTTTTTAATACTTGTGTTTTGACCACTGACTGCGCTGACGTTTTTGAGAGGGTATAATTTTGTCTGATGGCTCTTCATCCACAAACTCCAGCAAGGCAAAAGACTTTTGCACGTTTGTGCACAGCCTGGAAGACACACAGCTTGTCTTAATCAAATTACCTCATTTATAATTATAAATAAAATAATATAAATTATATCATTTAATTTGTATGGAAGTTTTTTTTTTTTTTTTTTTTTTTTATATGCAATGGTTGGAGCTCCACTTCAAAACCCACCTCCTCATGTGATTTAGAGCTACACACTGAGCTCTTCATTAGTGAATCCGAATTTTTTGTTTAAAACAGATTTGTGATCCTCTTCGTTGAACTCATTGGTCCTTGGACACTTTGTTAAACTGCAAAGTAAATACACTGGGGTATCCTCAGCTATGTCCTATAATTCGTCAACCTCCACTAAGTTCCAACTCACTCGGCAAATGAGGCGGAACATGCGCCGTGTGATTGTGAGTAGGTGTGTTTATAGGTTTGAACTGAAATTACAGCAATGTGGTTGACAGGCTCCGGAGTGTACACAGTGATCACAGCTGCACGAGGTCAGTTTACTTTACTGATATCAAACTTTTCTACACCTCATTTGCAATGTTGCATAACCACCCACCACCCACTCTGCACTTCTGCACAGTGGCCATGAGTGAGTGGCCCTCATACAAATAATACGCTTACACAAGATTAATTGCTCAATTGCTAAATGTGTTGTGGGTTACAATGCCAGTAAATGTGCGGAAGGGAAATGATTTCACTACTTAATGAGACACTTAGACTCCCGAAAGTAATAAATGATCGCTTCTTGTATTTACATTCTGTTGTCCAAGTGTGACATCCAGGTGCTAAATTGGGTCATTTAACACATGTTATCAACTACGGAGAAGAAAATTTGGCATGTTTGGCAATCACCTTGAGTCAAAACATATGACTGAGCTACTTACCACTCCTGGTCTGGGGTAAGGCACCCGGCCTTCATAGGCACCCCACTGGTAATCTGGTCCCTCTTTATGAGCAAATGGTCCGTTAAAGGCCTCTCTGATATCAGCCATGCGATATACGCAGACGGCAAAACCCTGGAACACGTTACTGGCGAGGAGAGTTGGAGAAACAGCGTCACAGAAAAATAGTTCCCCTCAGAATAGAAAACTAGAAACTTGGAAATTTATCGTGTCAGGGTCATGGTAATTAAATATGTGAGGGACAAAATAAAAGAGAGAGCCTGTTGAAATGTTTTAATAAATGTTTTTGACATTAAATGTCATGTACCTGATTGTACTAAAGATTGCATAAATATCCGGGTTCCTCACATCCTTTCCTCTGAGCAAGAAAATGTCCTCTGTTTGCATTGAAAGAAAGGTGGAGGTTAGTGATGTACTGCGGAAGGTCATTTGGTCGCTCGATTGGTTGGTAAAGTTTGTCTCACCCAGTTGGTTGAAGTGTGTATCGATGCCATGAGGTCCCGGGACAGAGCAAACCAGTCTGGCTTTGATAAAGGTGCTCCACTTATTCACCAGCACTCTCTGGCCTCCGACGTCATTCTGCCATGAACAAAAAAAAAAAAACAGACACAAAATCTATGAATTGAATAAAAGACAATTGAATTTGTGACGCTTCAACAACAACAAGAGTGGGAAAAAAACTTCAACAAGACTCAACGAGTCAAGTTCAAACAGGGAGTTATTTTAATGATTACTAGGCGAGGTATTTCCAGTTTTCTACAAAGTATAATCAAAGCAAGTACAGACAAGCAATTGTCACACTGTGCGGTCATTTCCTTAGATTGAAGATAAAGTTGAATATTTTGTTTGTCAAATCCAACACAGGCCACTTTTGTATGTGGATATTCGAGACGACTGAAGTCTCAGGTGGCACTCATCAGAAAGCAATGGCTGACAAAGGAGCAGAAGACTGTTGTCTTGAAGGAGAGGATGCTTTAGAACTGGTAAATACACTGGGCGACCAGTCAGTTCACGTGTCGGGACTGACATCTAAATGCGGGAACATATTTACTTTTGTCTTACCAGAACAATGAGAATCAGAACAATCCGAAAGACTTTCCACGAGCTCCCAGTTGGCTGTAGAATAGATTTTAAAATTCCGCTACTGGTCTATAATTGACTGACTGGCTTTGGTTCTGAATATATTAAAGAAATGTTGATGGAACCTAGTAAGATTCTGAGGTCAGCATACTCGTGTCAATTTGTGGCGCCCAGAGTTCAAAGCGAAGATGGGGCATCAGCATTTAGCTGTTCTGCTGCATGCAAATGAAATAAACTGCAAACAGAATTGAAGTGATCCCCGTGTGTAAATGATTTCAAATCCAAGTTAAAAACAATGCTTTTCCCCCTATAATCTATGATTAAGTTTTTATTTTAATTTTTTATTGTTTTTTTTTTTTGGAGCTTTTCTATAATAAAAATTCCAATTGCATTTTTTCCTATTTTTAAATATCTTAAATTAATTTGCTGTTACAGGTTGGATTTTGCCTTTGAATGTTCTTTTCCAACTGTGTGAAGCACAGTGAGTTACCTTGTGTACAAAATGCGCTATATAAATAAAGCAGCCACGCCTTAATCGCACTGTGTCACGTGTCGTCGTGTTTTTTAGGCGCAAATGTGACTTCATGGTCAGCTCACATTTCGAAACCACATTTGTTTTGTTTTGTGAGTGAATACATAAAGAGGTGGCATTGAACAATGAATCAAAATTTGGCATCATGACATCATGAACATAACCTAAAATCACACCACACTTGTGTGTTTGACGGGGTGTCAGATCCTATGGATAACATCACGTGAGATCTCAACAGACCAAAAATACGTCGGCCATCGTTCTGAAATGGATTGTGTTCAACCTTTGGGGTTCCGCCATCTTGACGCCACTTCTCCGTACAACTTGAGAGCAAATGACTTCATAAGAAGGAACTTATACTTCTGATCATGTCAGCTGGACTCAAAGGGTTAGCATAGTTCTTCTTGCCCAGTCTCCAAGGTATTGCGACCACTGTGTGAGTATATTTTCATTTATTCTGGTTTGCATACCTTTATATTTGTGTGCGCGGCACGAAGCCTGAAAGAATGTAAAAGATCATGCGGAGCGTTTTGGGATTGTGGATGCGAAATGTGACAGCTGTGTGTACTTTGGAAGGAGAACGGCTTCATTTTGTTGTAAATATTTTAGAGGTTTTTATATCCCTTTAGGGAAATGTCAACATTTGAAAGCTCACAAGAGAGTTTGGGGTTCTGGCCTTCTAGCCAAATGCTCTCTCTGGAGTTCTCTTGATCATCATGTGTCTGTTTCTACATCGTCTTGCATGAGCGTGAAACTACACAGTATATCACAAGGGAGGTTTTGGCTAACGTTCGAAAATTTGAGGCCCATAAGGGATCGACCAGGAAATAAGAAACCGCCCCCAAAAAGGAACCTGGCTTCGAGTTTACAATTGGAGAATCACTTCCTTTGCAGATGTTTTGTTCCTTAGGGTGAGATGAAGTTATTAGGCTGGATACACCTGACCACCGGGTCTTCTTGACTTTACCCTCAACGCACAAGGCAGATAGAAGGTTTAGTTTTGGAATAGTCCAGTAATGATCTAAGTTTGTCGAGCATGATGGCAGTCTGCCTTTTTGCTGGACAAGATTCTTGTCCCCAGTGACATCACCCAAAATCACAAAGTGTGATGAAATGTTGAGAAATTAAAATCTATTTTTTTTATTGTGCACATATATATGTAAAATGATGACATGCTTGATTTTATACCTCACCCAAGTCTCCGATCTCAGACACTGACGCTACACATTGATCAGACTTGCCTTTAACAAATTTCAAGTTCATTTTTTATTTTTAACACGATATGGTGTCTTCACACATTGCAAACCGCTGTACCACAGTAATCCCCTAACTGTCAAACATATTCTTAATTCACTGGTCACAAATTACACCGATAGTCGTGTTTTTTGTGTGTTCAGCGATTCGCTGAAAATCTCACACAGTGTTTGTGCTCTTTCTGAAATGGCCTAAGTTGCCACAAGATGCTGCCAAAGGACTGTCTAAACAGGAAAGTAGTACAATAACTGGTGTCAAGGAAGTATGCTTTAGTAATACTTTTAGACAAGTTGGTTTGTCAGGGAAGAGCTAAGTTTAGCCTTGGCTATTAGTGGGAATGAAGCGCTTTATGGCTCACGTACTTTGGATGCCATTTTTTTTTAAATCAAATCATCTGTAAGCTATTTATTATTTATGGAAATATAAGTTGGCAGAGGTACCGGGTTTGATTCCAGCTCCAGCCTTCCTGTGTGGAGTTTGCATGTTCTCCCCGTGCCTGCGTGGGTTTTCTCCGGGTACTCCGGTTTCCTCCCACATTCTAAAAACATGCATGGCAGGTTGATTGAACACTCCAAATTGTCCCTGAGTGTGAGTGTGAGCGTGGATTGGTGTCCGTCTCTGTGTGCCCTGCGATTGGCTGGTGACCGGTTCAGGGTGTCCCCCGCCTACTGACAGCTGGGATAGGCTCCAGCACCCCCCGCGACCCTTGTGAGGATAAAGCGGATCGAAAAACGGATGGATAGATGGAATATAAATTGGAAATGACATCTTTGGCGGATCATTGTGGTACAGTACATTCTTATATAAAGTTTAAACTATTAAGCCTTTCAGGGACAGCGGTTACAACAGTGGACAGCTATGTTATCAGGTTACAGGGTACATGAAAGGGTAGTATCAGGATTTCAAAAATTTTTTCGGGTGGCGTCAGTTACTCATGTTTTTTTCACTATTCATGGCAGGACTCGGAAAACTGCTCAACTTCAGTGGGATGGATGGTCTCTTGTTCAAAAGCAAATTTGGGGCATTCACTCACAGCCAGAACAAAATATTCCTCCACCGGTCACGCTCAATGTGGTGTTTCCTTGTCTAAATGGGGAAGAAGACTTAACTGCACTTAAAGAGTTTGGATAAAAATGCCTTTGTTGTAATTGTGGCTTTTTCTACAACTAAACCTCATCCAAAGACAACACCGCCATTTTTCTAGGATTCCCATCTATATACAAAATATTCACTTTTTAATTTAAAGAACTCACCGCACACATTCGTCCAACACGTGTGTGAATGGCCTCCTCCCTGTCTCCTGCCTCGGTGGCCTTCTCGGTGAAGAAGAAATACACTTTGTCATCGTCTCGATCGTCGCTGTCTGGAATGAGGTGTGCAGCCACGAACTTGGGGTCTTGAGAAAGGGTTACAAACAAGAGTTTGTTTGTTAAAATGAAGGCCATGGAAGGGGGTGCATGAATTTTAGGGTTTGCTCGTGTGATTTGTGATGCCAGTAATAATGCAAGATATGTTAACCTTCACAAAGGCGGTTATAGTCCGTGTGCATTCAAAAGGGATTGTAAAGACTGAGTGTTGTCCATCAACAAATGAATTATTACTCTTGTGGTGATGCAAGCAATTGTTTCATACGAGCTGCTGTGGTATTAAATAAAAGAGGAAATTATTAGACTTAACACATTGTAAATGTGTTAAGTCTAATAATTTGCCCAATTATTTGTGCATGCTTTACAGTATGTTGCTCATTGTAGATTATTTTTAATGATGAGCAGTTTTTCCACTAATTACAGGGCATTCTTCTGTCACACATAATCTCATTATTTTTAATCACTGTAGCTGGGAAATTGAACAAGATGGAAAAAACAACATACGATCAAACGCCATCCGATCAGATTCTTATTTCTACTTCGATATGTTGGTTCATTTATTTTGCAGATGATGACTGTTTCAGCGTTGTTGGAAGCCCAAGTTTCCCCTTGCTGCAATGAAAGTCCGACTGATAAAATATTACCATGAAGGATTTTATGGTCAGTCTCTGTCCTCATGGTGGAGCGACCTCCCATACTTCTGAAGATCACAGAGTCTCTCCCTAAGAAATCCGCCGTCAGTCCTGTAAATAACTCTCCACCTACAAAGAGAGGGGAAAGAGAGTGAGTGAGTGAAACAAAAGCAACGAATTAGAGAAGAGGAAGAAGTCAACCACATTGAGGAAATCATCGGTGACACTTCAACATTGTGATCCAGGCTTATGACATCGAGCTTTGGAAGGAAAGAGGAAACTCAGCAGGTCCGACATGGAGCTCAGGGTGAGAATACTCCCATGCCCCACCCTTTAACACACTTTTTAGTGCGCATCCTCTACTGGGACCATGAGAGGCAGACTCACTTTACACGACTCAAGGGAAAGACGAAACAAAACATAGAAGATATCTAAAGCAGTCAAGTCTGGAGAATTGGAAGCCTTCTGCAACACAGTGTGAGAAGCAGCTCTGTTTGTGTGTCACTATAGCACCAAATAATAAAAATCCAGAAAGAAAAAAAAAAAAAAAACAGAATGGGCTTACAGACTTAAATGTGTGTACGTATAACTGAAGAATACTGTTAAATAAATACAAAGTTTAGATATCATATGGGGTGCACTGGTCCAAATTCAAGACTAAGGTGTCAAAGTTATACACTGAAAAGGCCTCTACTGAAGTATAAAGAGATTTTTCTTAATATTGTAAAATTGGATCTATGTTCTTTAGGATCGCCCAGCTAAAGAGAAGTACATTGTAACGTTGTCAGCTGAGTGTAAACTGGCCATCAAGGATTGGAAGTTGGCCCACCAGAGGCCAGCAGGTTGATGGTTGGATTTGTAAAAGACAACTGGGTCAAAGGCTAGTCGTTGGAGAATCAGACTGGGGCTGAGCCACTTGAAAAACCAGTGAGAGATTACCCTCTGGAGAAATCCACTACATAGGCCTGATTTACAACGCACAGAATCCCGGCTAGAATGAATAAGTCGCCCAAGAAGATGAATCCCATTTATAAAATCAAGCATATCACTGCAGACAATATTGTCCTAATAAATCACAGTCAACCTGGAAATGTGCACGCGTGTATTCCTCTGCTCGTCCACATCCAACTCAAAGAGAAGACAGACTCACAATATTCACAACTGTAAAAGGAGCCCGGATTGCAAGAGTCCTGTGGTCATGTCAAACGCATTTTTGTGCTGAGTAAGACTCTCCACCCCCACCCCCCCCTTCTTGTGCTCCAAAAACCGACATCTTCATCTAACAATGGACCTCATTCACCAACGGTTCTGACAAATAAATGTTTTTTAACTTCATACGCGTTCACCTCCAGGGCCGGAATGGGGCTCATTTTCAGCTGTGGACTTTAAGGGCTCAGACTGGCCCACTTTAGTTGACCTTTTACTGGTGGTATACATTTCTACCCCTATCAGAGAATCATTCGAAAATAGCTTACCATTCCCTCGTGCAATATTCATATTGTGGTTGATCAAAAATCTAAATTACAGTTGCATGCTTATAAGATCACGGTCAGAGTTTTATTTGAACGAGTATGAGACCATATATAGTTAAAATGGATAAAAGGACAAAAAAGACCAGGGAGCAAGTTTACATAACATGGGAATTGACATTTTACATTGGGAATTTCTCCATTGTGAGACTAATAAAGGTTTTCTTATCTTATTTTACACTTCACAGGGCACATTTATCAAACGCACTCAAACAGACAACTTTGTGAGCTCTGCGCAGCCATTATGAAACGAATCTAATACCCAAAGCATAGTTAACTACTGACAAAATGAAGGAAGGAGGAGACAAGCAAGACTTCTAAGGATATTTAGCCTCTTGTGGATGTGAGCCCACGAGGTTTGTATGCCTTTTTATTGAATCAATTGTGTTCAGAACTTTTGTCTTTGATTTATTGTTTTGTTATGCCATTTGTATTTACATATTTTATGTCCATGTTTGTGACCAGTTCTCATTGTTATAGCTGCAGCAGTTGTGAAGGCTCTCTATAAATAAAGCTGTATTGTATTGTATTGTATTCCCGTTAGTATAACACCATCTAGTGGATGCATAGCACAATCACAGCCACTATTGTAGCTTCTATTCTAGGTGCCTTATAAATGCAGCGCGCCCTATATATGAAAAAAGTTCTAAAAGAGGACATTCATTGAAGGTGCACTTTATAATCCGAAGCGCCTTATAGTGCAGAAAATACGGATACTCCCTCCAGGTCTGTTTGCATGATTTGAAGAATGTGGCATATATTGCACATCAATAACCGTCACGCTGAATCCAGTGAAATATTGCCAGTGAAGATCGTACAATAGAGAGCAAGACCAAAAATATTCAAGAAAATACGTCTCTAAAATCACACCAAAAAATCCCCGTCTAACTCATTGCCTTGAGTGATACTGTGAAAGATCTCTCTCTATAAGATGGCACTTGAGGCCAATGAGCAAAAGAACATGGACATACCACTGAAGGTGCTTGCAAAAGGAAGGCTGGGGTCATGCGGGACCCTCCCTCGTCCATTCTCCACATTTTTAGGGTCCATAGTGAAGACATGCTGTGGGAGAGACACAAACACAATTTTGAACCGGTCAGCTCTGATGGGTCCTTATGTCATCATGTCATGGCGTAGCACTGCATGTGGTATGCATAGAATAATAGACCGTGAAAAGAGAAGTGAAACATGGCTAGAGAAAAAAAGTATGCCTTTCTTTTTTTGCTGTATGGTTGGACTGTAGGGTTTTATTCAGCAAAGGTCAATGGGTAGCTTATTGTTATGCATGGAAACAAAGCCGTTTATCAAACTTAATCTCTTCAGAAGAATATATTCCCATCTCTTTGTGTTCCTCTGTGCACACAAAGACAGGATTGGCCTTTATTTGTTTCCACTCTTTTGGGTCTTTCTGCCCCTGCTCTGAACTCTGTCTGTCTGAGAAGGAAAGATGCCGTCTGAGAAATAAGGAAGTGTGGGATCAGTAATAGCTGCCAGAGTTCAGATGAGTTTCCCACCCGTTTCCCAATGAAGATCCGTCTTGAGCTTAACTTTTTACAGAGGAGTGGACAAGGTCATCGAAGGAAAAAAGTAAATAAATACAGCATCAACCAAAAACAACAGCTGATAATGTATGAAAAAGCAGATTGTATCAGGGCCATTAATATTCTATCAATGTACTTTCACGGAGAACCGATCCCAAAAATATGCCCATCTGAACCGTACATGTTATAATTTAAGTGTGACTGAACCAGCTGTGAAATGCCTCACAGAGCAAACCACATCACTCGGGTCAGACTGTCACCATCAAAAAAAAACTTCAGTCATGATGCACTGTTAGTTGTATTTTTTTTCAAATATTCTTCACAAACTTGCAAAAAATAGTTTAACCAATTCAAACTAAAACATAAAAAACATTAAACTGACTTTGATCGCAATGTGTGCAGTGAAGCCGGAGCCTGACTGCTTTCATGTGATTCTCCTTACTTCATCTAACAAACGTCCTGTGTATAGTTTCCATGTCTCATGATCTTTTTAACATCCACAAATAGCCACTTAGCGCGACGCATGCACTGGCAGGCAGCATTCTGAAACCACTCCGCCGTGAAAGTTGTTAAATTGCAGTTTCAACAATTCTTTCCAACGGCAATGTGTCTCATACAACATTGCGTGTTTATTCTTTAACCATTATCACTTGTCGTTTGTGCTGCCTGGGCGTGACCGATTTCAAGTCCAATGCATTCATGTCGTCCAGGAAGAGAAGAAAAAGGATGGTGACAGGACATACGGCCTGCCCTCATGTTTGATATAAGCCCACGTTATTGATTGAGGTGTCCTCCAAATGAACTGAGAGTGTCTCACCCTTTGTTCATTAAACAGACAATGGCCTATTGTTAATGGAAGGGTGGGTCCTCCACTCTGGAGTATTCACAGACCACAAGATGACATTGAAGTCTGCTCTATAAAAATAATGAAAAATTACTCATTCAGATTCATTTAGTTTATATATAATATATAGTATAGGCTACAGACCACATATTATTACATTTTGGCAAAGTTGGTGTCCACTGATTTGTCCCTTACAGCAGCATTACAAAGCACATTGCCAAGTCGCGGTGCTTACCTCAGTTTTCTGGAATGCATCATGCAGCCACATTTCAACCAGTTCAGTTCACCACAGTACGGTTTGGAAGGACAAATCGTGATTTGGCTTATGTTGACAGCCCAAATCGTGTAGATGGGATTGTGGCAAATATGTAAATAGCGTGACATCAACGTGAAGAAATGCAGTGGAATGATTCAACGAATTTGACAAAGAAAAGGAGATCAGAGAGTAAACAAATGGTGCCAACGAAAGACAAAAAACATTTAGGATGAACCTCCCATTCCCGATTACACTCTGTCTCCATCTCTTATTCAACTGTGTCTTTAGCTCCGTAAATTAACTTGCATGTGTTTAGGAACATGAAAGAAAATCTGGGAAAAGTATGGGATGACATAAAAATTCTGACACCAACTTCTCTCTTCGCAACATTTATTCTCAGGTTCCCAAAAATTAATATTAGTGTGTGTGTGTGTGTGTGTGTGTGTGTGTGTGTGTGTGTGTGTGCGTGCGTGCGTGCGTGCGTGCGCATACACAGTATATGACTGTCATGCAGAGAAATGGTGCAGCTGATTCCGTTTGAGCAAACCCCGCCAATACAAACACACTCAAGTGCTGAGGGGGTGAAAAAAAGAGTGACGTTTTCTTCTTTGCCAAGTACAGCATATCTGGGACCACCAATATCATTTAAACAAGTGATTGCTGACACACGCACACACACACACACACACACACACACACACACACACACACACACACACACACACACACTGGTCGTAATCTGATACCCTGAGGTGGAACTGAGTCGAATCTTAGAACCCCTACACCTGATTTAAAAAAAAAGTCGGTTTAAGTCAAACATTTGGATAGGATGACAGTGACATTGCGTTGTGTTCTGACTGCCCAGTCAAACAATGGCACACTGTCTGCCTTCTTACCTTTCACTCAAGTAAAAGCACTGGAGGCTCTTTCTCCAATTTAACCTTTCAATGCTTGTATAAACATTGCTGTCTTTTCCAATGAAAGACAGAGTACATACATTTTTTTTCTTCAAAGGATTTTTAAAAACAAAACTTCAAAGGAAAACGGTAAGGTAGAGAGTTTTGACAACCTGAAAAATAAATCAAAACAAAGTCTTATGGAATAGTAAAATATATCGGATTATTTTCAAAATGGTAGATACTATATACACGATACATTATTTAGACTGTGCATGTGCGTGTGATTGTGTGTGTCTTCTACTCCATTATATTCCTGGAGCTGTTTATTTTCACGTAACGTATATGACATTGCTTTGGACACTGTGTCATTATCGTCAATGTTTAGGACTTCAAATACAGGTTTATTGTTGTCCATTACTATCTTTAGAAAGCAATAAACACACCTACAAACAAGTACAATGGAGCCATAGTGAAGCTAGCCCGTAATCTGTCACCTCTGACAAGCTAACATCAGAACAGTGTCTCAGCATCGAAGGAGTGTAACGTCGGGCCACCGCAAAGAGAAAGATTCCATGAGAAAGACACAACATGTACATGTAAGTCTGACCCGAACAGAGATGAAACGCCTGGGGGGGCTAAAGTTCATCCCACCCAGGGTCCAGTTGGATCGCTACTAGCTTCAGTTCCCTCCAGAGGTCAGGCAAACATTCTGGTGTGTACTTTACGCCAGTTAACGACTGGTTAAATAAACGAACCCACTCCCCATGGGAGGGTGTGCTCAGACCGACTACCCGATGCTGAGCTAAACTGCTATTAGGCTAATGCAGATATTTCTAGCATGCCTCGGCGCAAACATTTGTGGCTACACAATGTTATGGCTTTTGCACAAAAACTCCTTTTGTAGGCAATTTTAAGCAAACACAGGCATATGTGAAGCTGACATTAAAAGATGTAAAAAAATAAATAAATACACAACACGGCATGTCCACGATCAAAACAATTTCACTGCTTCACACTGGACAAATGCACACATTTTTGGAAAACAAAATCGTACATATAATTTATGCAGTATAAAGTGTTAAGCCACGCCAAAATTTTTTTTTTCGTTCTGCGTTTTTCATCAAAGAAAATAATACAGTGTTGTATAAAGACTTAGAAATAAACAACACACACAGTAAATATTCCTTTTTTTTCTCCCAAAATTAAATTGCTTTGGGACTTCCATTGGGCTAACGCAAATGCGATTATTTTTGTGATTCAATTTGGCAACATTTGTTTTCCGCTTTACGTTGTGGAGGAATACAAGTAGTTTTGAGGTAAAAGCAATGCGATATGGACATTTCCAATGATGGTTACGCAGTGTGAGAAGAAACCCAACATAGATCCATCTGCTCATCCATGTACTGTATATTGAAAATAGTGCAGCGACAGAGCTAATTTTTTTACTAAAATTTTGTGCGTAACCCAAATTTGTCGTAAAAATGGCCGTTTGTAACTTGTGGTTCCACCGTATGAAGAAATTGTATGTGACAAGCCACAAGTCACAAGAACAACAGCTGTAGTGTTGTATGCGTACATTGAAGGGGCGTGGCCTAGTGAATGGTGCCGGCCCAATTTAGCTCGTCAGTCTGCATGTCAGCATCCCAGCATGGGTTTGGCAACACTCACAGTAGATTAGACTTTAACGTGAGTAATCAGAGGAGGACTTCGATTGGCTCTCGGAGATGACATAGTACTTGGATGCAGTGAGGATGACATGTTGAGAGTGAGGGTGAATATATGGCACCAAGGAGAACACACACAGTGAACGTAGCAACTAAGTCCACGCGATCCACTGGAAACACACACCACTAAAATGTTGGGCACTTTCCCACCGCAAAGTTATATTTCGACTTTGTGGATGTTTAGCCACTTTCCACTTTCCTCGTGCCTACTTTGACTGCCTCCCGCTGGGTCACATTAGACTGTCATGGCAAGGTCCACAACGGTCTTAATGGCTCTCATTCATCCATTCTTGTCTTTTGTTTGGCTTTGAGAGGAAGGATGGTTCCAGATTCCCATCAAGCTGAATTGTTAGCCCAAAGGACATACGAAAAGGAAAAACTTCTTGAATCGTTTAATATAATTTAGAATTAAGAAGCCTGATCGTTAAAAACTTTGGCGTTCAAGTCACCACCCAGAGAGAGCAACAACGCTCTGTTAAACGAGCAAAGGATTGCCTCTGGCAGTATGTTTTGTTTTTTTCTTATTTGGTTTTGGCTTTACAAGTACAGTTATGAGTAGAATATGAGAAGATGATCTCGCATTAAAAGGAGTAAGACTCCATAATGCTGCATTAGGTCACATGCTATCATTTGTAAGCTAAGTCAATGTAGATTGTTTTCTTGTTGTCATTTTTCACTGTGTTTAACTTATTTGTCCACTTATGATGCAGATAAACTGTTGCAAAATTTTCCGCAGACTTAATGAATGTTTTATGATGGCGACAGTTAAGTCCTTGAACTGATTATTTCTCTTTCCAATGGGAGAAATCACTTCAAAAGTCCAAATGGAGATCAACCAAAATTTCTGGAACATATTGTGAATGCTCATAAATTTTCCACTGTAAAGCCCAAAATTCAGGATTAGAACAGAATACCATTACTGACATTTAGATGAGTCAACTACTTTTACGTAAATTAAATTCACTTGGGATTTATACATTCATGGACACTCAAGTTGACATTTAACTCCTGAATACTTCTGGAAGCACTATTAATTCGAGCAATAATAGCTGGCTTTTGTACAATGTTGTGGATACCTGACACACTTACGGTTCAAAGTTGTGTGTGTTGCTTACCTCTCCTCTATGGCCCACATAGATGAAACTGCACATAGGATGGAATGCGCCAGTGCCACAGGCCAGGAGGTGAGTACGGTTGTATGGCTGCAAGAGGCGCACAAAGTTGGCACACTCCGTCTGCAAAATGCAGAAAAACATCGACTAAGACTGTCTGCATATACTTCTGCTGCTGAGATCTGTTTTCTCGCTCTCACAAATTACATACGTAGAGTATTATATTGCATCAATCTAAGCGCAGAGTGAAATGGGGTAGCTGTCTTCCAAATGTAGATAAACTGATTTTCAGGGTTACCAAGGGAACAATGTTATTTCTTGATGATTCTTATTGATCCCACATGTTGGTGAGCCGGCTCAACAAAGACTTTTTAGTGGATGAACTATGATAGACTCTCCTCAGTGGTGGATTACTGGCATTTATAAAAAAACTACTTAGACTGTATATTAAAAAAAAAAAAAAAAAAAAGCTGTCAAGGGATAGGCTCCAGCACACCCATGACCCTCGTGAGGAGAAGCGGATCACAAAATTGATGGATGGACGTATATATATATATATATAGATATATATATATATAGATAGATAGATAGATAGATAGATAGATAGACAGACATACATACCATATTTTCCACACTACAAGGCGCACCTTCAATGAATGGCCTATTTTGTCATTTTTTTCATACTTTGGATGCACAGCATTATAAGACGCAGTCTACAATGCTTCTACTAGATGGAGCTACGTTTAAGGAAAAGCCAACAGAACGATCAGATGTCAGTAAAACTTATTTAATAAAGCAGCGACAGAGTTCACTTAACCAACAGCAAGTTATAACGTTGACTTGTTAACGTTGAACTCTCTTGCCGCTGCTCTATTTCCGTGTTCAACTGCGTAACGGTACAGGGGTGTCAAACTCAGGTCCTGGAGGGCCGCTGTCCTGCATGTTTTCCAAGTCTCCCTGTTGCAACACACCTGATTCAAATGATCAGATCATCAGCAAGCTCTGCGGAAGCCAGACATTGAACCTGTTCATTTGAATCAGGTGCGTTGCAACAGGGACACTTGGAAAACTTGCAGGACAGCGGCCCTTCAGGAACTGAGTTTGACACCCCTGGGTAACCGATTGCTTGAAGTTTGAACTCTGCGTTGTCAGCAAGTCTCGAGCAAGGAGCCATTTTGGGGTCCTGGCTCAAGCCTTCCTGTGTGGAGTTTGCATGTTCTCCCCGTGCATGTTTTCTCCGGGTGCTCCGGTTTCCCCCCACATTCCAAAAAACATGTATGACAGGCTGATTGAGCACTCTAAATCAGGGGTAGGGAACTCTGGTTCCTCGAGAGCCGGATCCTGGCTGTTTTACATCCCTCTCGACTCTAACACACCTGATTCAATTGCCAGTCTAGTGGAGGCTGATATCAAGAGAGATGACTGGGCTACTGTTCACTTCTTAAACAAGATACTTTAAAGACATAGATAAAACAAATACAATACTGTACTACAATAGGCACTGAGCTCTGTGTGGCCTCCAGTGGAATAAAATGTTGACAATAAAGAACTAGGCCTACGCTCAATGCTCTCTGAGTTTTGCGGTTTTATATATGTGGGTGGCTTTTATTAAGGCCATAAAGAAAGTTGAAAAGATTTCCTTTTCCTCAATATTTTTTTTTCCACTGCAGAAGTAGCTTTGACATGAATGTTTCCAGAATTGGAAAATTGGCATTTAATTATTAGATGAGGAGCGAGGCTGAAGAAAAAAAATCTGAGGACTTTCAGTGTCAATTTTCACATGATGAAAGAAGCTTTACCAAAACCATGTGAACAAAGTAGTGCAAGTACCTTCCCAGTTCAACTTTATCCGACACTTAATGACAGAGCCAGAGCTGTTTTCAGAATAAGGTAGTAATGGAGAGAAATAAAGCTGAAATCAGTCAGATTGGGGACATGTGTGTCCCACATGGAAGAAAAAAAAACGTCATTTATCGAAAAAAATGTGGTCTTTAGATTTCAGACACATGATCTGCGTGCCACACGTTACACGTCATTTCTATCATGGCCTTATCGATCCCACCTGACATTAGACATTGGTGAAAATCTAAAGATGCTGTGGAAATTTCCAAGCACGGCCACATGCCTCTAGTGTGTTTTTGTTTCCCTCAGGTGAATTTAAAGAGTACGTAATAAGAGCGCACGCCTCCGCCAAGGTTGAACCTAAAATTAAAGCAATTTGTGTCAGCCACTCATGGAGAATGATGTCACCATAGATCAGGAAAACAGGACTAATTTCTTTCTGTGGCAGTGGGAAGAGTTCAGTCATGAAAGTGGGAAGACAAAACTTTTGATTTTAGGGGTGGGTCTACAGGCGATGTGGACTTGGCCAGGTGCATGGTGACGCCCTGGTGCCCCACATCCAGGCTAGGTACAGTCACTCGTTCTCTGACGTATAATTCACTCCTTGCCTGAACCGTCACTTAGCCTTTCTTGAGAGACCCCGCTAGGGAACAAATAGACCTCAACATCATAGTTCCTTGGATCACTTGGGTTAGGATGAGGATCTTAGTCATTTGACGAATGACACGACTCTATTTCAGATGCCTCTGGGAAACTTTTGTAGCTAACGTGTAATGGGTGACTCCAGCAGGAAGGAGACCCAGTGTAGGGTCCCACAGCTGGCCTCGTAAATGCCTCAGAATGGCCCTGGTGTAAGTACAGGAGGTGGTCAGAAACAAATGGATACTACAACTTCCGCCTCAACTAAATCCACTGTGAGACAAATGGTTAGGCTTCAACAGCAACATAATTAAAATATCAAACCAAGAAACAAAAAAATGAAAAAAACCTAAGAAAGATTCACATAAAAGTGGACACTTCATACCATTCATCAACATTTTTAAATATTCATTTGCAAGTGTTGAAATCAAGTCTTCCTGGCCGCATGGATGGCTCGTTGCTAACAGCTGTTAGCAGTTAGCAGGAGCGCTGTCGAGACCAACTTAACTTAATATAGGCACAAATCATTTGTACTCCCAGGTCTGTGGTTTTCCCCCTCTTGCAGACTGACATCAGTCAAGAGCGCACACACGCACCATATGACAGTCAATCGGTCGTAACAGATGAACACGATCAAAGATGAATGTGGAAGCACTTCTACAGCTGCACGAGCTTGCCAGTTCTGCTCTCTGCTCCAGGTCCCCGACCAGTCAGACCATTTAGTAATGACACGAAATGAAGCGGAAGAGATCATTTTTCTCAAAATCTACCAAAGACAGCCAGGAAAGTACTCAAAAGCCTTGCAATGGGTCTCACGTCACATGAGTCATGTATTCAAACTCTCTGCTTAGATTTTGTCTACAAAATTTTGGATATACAAGTACGCTAAATGAAAGAAACATTTAGAATTTGGACCACGTATTATTTACGTATAATGTGAGCCAGCCGCACACACTATACATATCACAAAGCACTCCTGGTCTCTCCGAGTTCAAGTAGATTCATTATCGCTGCATCCTTACTGATCTTTCAAGTGCAGCCTTAACATTTGAGGACTGCTAGAAATAACAGTCTACAGTTGGACAAGGTTTTGGATAAAAGGTTCAACGCCATAAACAAAAGGTCAAAGCTGCCAGCAGTGGATAAGGCATGCTCAAGTGCAGCCTTAACATTTGAGGACTGCTAGAAATTACAGTCTACAGTTGGACAAGGTTTTGGATAAAAATTTCAATGCCATAAACAAAAGGTGGATAAGGCGCGCTTTCTCTTGTCTCATGCCAGCATTTATGGCTCGAGGTGGTCAAAAACAGCATGGGTGAATTACCGGCTGAAGATGACAAATATTATCGTCTTCAGTCACGACGTTGTTGAAGATAATTCTTTGTTCTGGCTCTAACTGATGAATATGAAGGTCGAGAGGCTGTGATTGATAGGTGGGAGAATATCATTAAAATGTTTATGGGGGTGGACAACTGTCTATAGAAGGAAGGTTGCCTCTGATTGGCAAGAACACAGACCACCCTCCATGCCCTACAATCGTTATTTTTCCCCCCAAGTGCTGTCAAAGGTTTTTTTGTTTTTCCCAACAGAATGATTGAAACTAAACATTGTCTACATGTCAGAGAGGCATTTTTTTTCCATATAGAGAAACAATGTGAAGACCTCTAACCTTATCCAACCTTTTCCCTTTTCGTCAAAGTCAAGTTGTGTTCAACACAAGCAGACAGCAAACAAATGAGATTAAAGGTGTGTCAAAGTTAAGGTCCTTGCTGTCATTCCCTTAGTCGAAAGATTGCAGTCATCCATCAGCTTTGACAAAGAAACCCTCAGACACACAGCGAGCGAAGAGACGAGGGAATGCGAGGCGCCATCTGTGCAGTCAAACATCTCTGACGAACATATATGGACTTGTATAACACACAGAATTTCTCATGAGAATTCAGTAGGAATTTGTACTAAAGCTTTCGCCCTAGATAATGTAACCTCTAGGGTCCAACACACTATTTTTGGATGATGGTCGACATCCAATTTGTTCACATTTGGAAACATTTTTAACCATAACGAGGCTGGAAAAAAAAAAATATATATATATATATATATTTTTTTTTTTTTTTTTTTAGAGTAGCAGGTTTATTAATCAGTGACTTCATCTGAGTCGCAATTTTCAGTGACATTCTCACTCAGTATCGGGTCACTTTTTCCCCAATCAGTTATGAGGCAATTGGCGAGGTGAGGAGTGGAAAGCATAAACACTGGATATCGCTATGTACGGAGTTGGCGTGTTGTCAAACACATCGCAATTGTTTGACAACTGTTTTTGTTCATTTTCAATTTGTCAACCTGACCCACGATTTGTTTTTTAATGTTCTGAAGAATACGGACGTAACAATTAGTGTATACTGTACTTGTCACCATGGTAATAAACAATCCACAAACTCAATGGTAGCCATAATTAACGTAGTCAATTAATCAATGAATCCATTCTCCACTGAGCAGAGAGTGTTTCTTTTCAATGTCACAAGTTCACATCGTTAGCCCGCAGCGACAGACATCTGCACATCATGAAACGTTAATGACTTACCTGTGGCTCCTTCCCCCTTTGAATGCAGTCTTCTCGGTTGCCAGGCAATGGGGGCCAATAAATCTGTGAGGAGAAAAGACAGAGGGACGGTGGTTCTTATTTAATTGGTTAACTTGACTTTGGACATGCCTCTTAACGCATGGATATTTTTTTAACTGGGAAAAAAATATCCATGCGTTAAGACTGGAAATTGATATACAGGTATTGATCATTCACGTCTTAATTTTTTGTTGCATATATAAAGCCAACAGTGTCATTGTCATTTTGGAAGAAAAGGAAAGATGCTGCTGGCAGGATCAAGCAAAAAAGGCATCACAGATATTAATGAAGCCTGATTATATTTTTGGTGAGGATCCAGCAAAAGCATCCAGCAGATACAGGATTTGATTTAACCTCGTTTCATTCAGTCTTGGTTCAATTATGGAACAGTCTTCCCGAATGATAATAGCACAACACTTCACTCAGTTTTCCTCTATGAATCAGAAAGTAGCCTGCCGCGTTGATTATGCACCCATTGGGGTGTGTACCATAAATATGGAAATATTATCAGTGCTATGATGTCGCTTTCATGGCCAGAGTTGAATTAGCTTTATGACTCTTGGATTCTTTTTGTTTGTTTGTTTGTTTGTTTGTTTTATATTGGAGCCCTATTTTGAGATGAAGTTATAACGACGTGGTATGAAGACGGTGGTTTAAAAAAAGCAGAAACTTGGGTAAGACGATATCGCATCTGCTGTCAAAGACCGTAAAACGATCAGCTATGCATACTTCTGATGAAATGAAATGACACATAATTTAAATGAATGGTTTCATCGCAATGTCTGAATGGCCCTCGTTTATTATACAATCAAAAAAAAAGTGAAGCTCTTCTAATCCTGCACAATCAAGTTCTTTTTACCTACAGCTCACACCCCCCGCCCCCTCCTCCCAAACACTGCCTCATTAGGGAAAACCCAAAGCCACAGAAATGTGACCCTCATGAGCACCATGTAACATTTGGACTCATAATGCTTTCTGACTATGATAATAAAAGACATCGGATTTCAGATTTCCCCGCAGATGAAAACTGTCTCAATATTGACCTTCAATGGGCTGTGAAAGCCTGCAGTTTCTTGTAACCTGCTTTGTTTTTCCGAACAGACACATAAGAACCCAGGGAGGACAATAAACAGTCTTGATACATACGACAAGATGATCGTGTTGATTCGGTGGGTGTCAGGCAAATGATTTTTTTTTTAAACTGCTCAAGTGGGGTCATTAATGGATCAGAACGTGATTTATACTGTATTATATGTTCATTTTTTAAAATCTATAAGTGCTCATACTGTATTATACATTGTAGTTGGCGGCCATTTTATTGGTTAAGGTTTCAACGAACTACCGTTATAACATACAAATTCGTTATGTCCCTCGAGGTACATTGTAACGAGGTTCGACTACACATATACTGTATGTACAACCCTGCCTACGAGCTGAATTGTCGTTGTATTTGTGAGTTTGTCTGTCCGTCTTTCTCTTTGCTTGGCTCCCCGGCGAGTCACGAAGCTGCGCCATCCATGCGCCACACCCGGCGATGAGGCGATGCCAACCTCTGCGTCACAAAGTTTTGTGGGAACATTTATTGCAGCTAGTTGTATATGCCTTTCATTACCATTTTGTGATTGTTTGTCTTTTATGTTTTCATGAGCTCAACCTTATAAAATGTGACAATAAAGAGTTTGTGCTCTAGTTTGTGGCTGTTGTTCTTTAAACAAAGTCAGGTTGAGCGTGTCCAAATAAGCATCTGTTCACACGGACCTGCACATAATGTGACACAGTAAATGGCTCATTGAAATGAGATATGGTGCTTTGATCGCGTCGCTGACACCCGCATAACTGGAGCAAATAATCATCTAAAACGTCATTTATGGAAACTTAACTCATTTCAGCGAATTGCTATTTTTAAAGTGTTATTGGTATGCGTTAGACTCGTGCCCGGAAGTTAGCACGCCTCCAAAGTCCAAATGCTGAAATGGTGCTTGCATTTGCTCTGAGCCATGCCACTGCTGGTTTGGACCGTTCACAAAGCAACAGTGTGTTTTAGTGGCGAGATATGTGGCTGTAAAAAATTAAAAAAGAAATTTGGTGTGCACACCTTAACCTGACGGTAGCAGTTATGTGACACTGCTAGAGTTGATTGATGATCACTTTGGAGCTCCAGCAGTTCAGTTTCCACTGAGCAGAGACAAGGTTTGCCTGTGAGTATTCTTGGATGGCCAATTTGTATGTGTTAATGCCATCATGATGATCAAATTAAGTCGTTTAAAATTAGTGTGATAGTGATGCTAATTTTGTCAGCGCATCCAAGGACCCCATCCAATGTTATCATTAAGTTATTGGACTCATGTTAGGTTAATGGTAATGGCAGTGATGTTGTGTTAAAGTGCTTTGAATAAACATTTATGACAAATAACACTGCACTTAATAAGGTACAAACAAATAAAAACAAAAACTCCCAACCTTTCTTGTAAGAAATAAGTGGAAAGAGCACGAGCAAAAGTACAAGTCGTGCCACAACAAAAACAGTACAAGACGTTTTCAAATGTAAAAAATGTGAACAGTAAACACTTCAACATGGAGCTCATTGGAAAAATTCATGAACAGGAGACACAATTTTGGTGAATTAAAGAGAAGCTAAGAATAGACGACAATGTGACGCTGGGATCAGGGGAATCCGCAAATAAGACACATCTTTTATTTCAGTGACGGGAGTTAAAGAGGCCCGTATAAGTTATACATATACACACACACACACACACACACACACACACACACACACACACACACACACACACAGGTGGTGTCCCCTCATAACACAGTCGAACCTCCAACCACCCGGAGGTCATATAACGCAGTCAATACCAAAAGCGTTGTTTTCATGTTTTTGTTTTTGTTTTGTTTTTTTTAAGAATCCAGGCATTCAATCCCAGGCCGTCATGATGTATTTGTATTTCTTTATTCACGTGGTAGGGTAAGGAAGCATCTGAAACTGGCTGGCACTGAATGAGTTTTCAAATTTCCCTCAACGCCAGGGTAAAATGTGCCTCAGACAGAAACCAGAGTTTGCACTGCAGTCATTCATTCCATCACGTGAGAGTGTTTAAAAGCACATTAAAAAGCACAACACAAGTCTCCCCTCAGCAATACTACCTCTCGTCACTTTTATCGACACTCAGTGTCCATCATCAAAGCTAAAGTGAGCATTGTTATTTAAATGTTATTATACGGGACAGTGAGTAACTGAGTTTGATAATGTAATTTACAACTTTTCTTGTAGTTTTAAGAAAGGTTTAAAATGGTGACCCTGGACCTCATCATTTGTCATTCTATTGTTTTTCGTTGAGACAATTTGATTCTCAACTCAAACAAATTGGAGATCTAATCTATAAACAGGAGTTGGACTCGTTCAGATCTGGCACAGTTTCTTTGGCTTTTTGCTGCACTGTAACATCCCCCCTTTTTTGTCCGAGATCTCCTCCCCGCGAGATATATGGCTGACCTTCACCAGTCATCCAAGGTCCTTCCTGTTTAACTCTCCAAATGTCACCACAAGGTCTCTAAATTTGAATCCATCCTCCGACATCAGTCGGAAGTGTCTGTCCTTTGATCACTGTTGTTGTGTTTAATCTGTCGAGAGTTTAAAACGGATGAGAAGTGAAGGACAGTCAAACACGTCTCCTTTCGCTCTTTTCAACCTTGACCTGATATCTGGCAACAAAACCATCTCTGTGAGCCAAAACCATTAAGACCCACAATCTTTGTTCTTGGGCCAGATGCTGAAACGGAGTTTTAACAAAAAGCACCAGTGTGCACTCAATCAAGTTGTACAACAGAAGAACTGGGATCAGCCCTGCTTGTATTTCATGACATTCACACCCTTAAACTCTGACACAAAACCATTGCTTAGATGCTTGCTGTTTTATCTGTGCTCTTGCAGCTGTTGACTCAGAATCACATATCAGACTTTCCTTGTCCATTAATCCATCTACCATATTTTCCGCACTAGAAGGCGCGCCTAAAAGCATTCAATGTTCTCAAAAGCCGACAGTGTACCTTAGAATCCGATGGGCCTCATATATGGATCAATATTCTGATTTCTTGGACGTAGTATTTTAAATGTTCTGTTATGCACTTTGTTACAACTGCAGCGGTTGTGACAGCTCTATATAAATAAAGCTGTATTGTATTGCATTCCCTTTAGCATAGCTCTATCGAGTGGATGCCCAACGCAACCGCAGTCACTATTTTAGCTTCTATTCTATGCGCCTTATAATGCAGTCCCCCCTATATATGAAAACAGTTTTAAAATAGGTCATCCATTGAAAGTGTGCCTTATACTCCGAAGCACGGAAAATACGGTATTTTCTACAATGCTTGTCCTCATCAGGGTCAGGGGTGAGCCGGAGCCTATCCAGCTTGCATTGGGTGAGAAGAGTGGAATAATCTCTGGCCAGCCGCAGGGCACATATGTAAAAACAACGATTCACACTCACATTCACACCTACGGGCAATGTGGAATCTTCGGTGAACCTAACATACATATTTTTGGAATGTGGGAGAAAGTGCAAACCCCACGCAGGATGGCCTGAGCCCAAATTTGAACCCCAAAACGCTTGATTGCGAGTCGGCCATACTCCAACCCCGACGTGCTGCCCACTTTCTCTGTCTAATTACTGAATGAATCATCTCACTTCAACTTGCAAACATCCAACCACCCATTAGGGTCGTAGGAAACTGGAGCCGAGCCCAGCCAATGTTTGGGAAGGAGGTCAAGTACACCAGGGCATATATAGAACATTGACACTCACATTCACACCTATGGGACATGTATTTTCTCAATTTTGGGGATGTGTGAGGAAGCCTGAACATGCAAACTCAACAGAGAAAGGTCAGAGCTGAGATTCAAGCTCAGAAATGTTGACTGTGAGGAAGATATGATAACCACAGGTTTAACTGTGCTGCTTTAATATAAATCATGCAATCACGATATGGTCTCTAATCCGACAGTTATTTTCTTCCAACTGTGAAAACAGCTGAATCAATGTTTATTTTAAGTATTGCTGTAATTATGTATGGAAACCAAGGACTTGTGGTCTACACACTACCTCTTTCCAAACATTGGTGTTTTGATCCATAGGGGAAAATTGATTTTTACACGAAACAGATCTGTTTCGTTTGTGGCAGCACACTTTGCGGAATTGAGCCAATGAGATGAATTGCGTAAACTGCCAAAAAAGAAAGACGAAAAGATGACTGTCTAAAGTGAAATCAACAATGTCGTCTTTGTTCTGCTCAAATAAGGGTTCAAGTCTCCAGTTTATAAATCATAGTTCAGTCAAGTACCATGTTGCATCGTGTCTTATGTTGATTTCTTGATAGGAACACTTTTCCATTGGCAAAGATAGCGATACTTTTTCAGAAGTGCCAAATTTACACTATATTGGTGACATAAACCACTGCTGGTGGTTGATTGGTCAAACAGATAAGTCATTTCCATGTGGTTGTTAGTTTTGAGGATTGACAGCGAATAAATGACAAAAATAAATGCACGCTAATCGTGCGCCTTAGCTTTAAAACGATTATCCTCCACAGTGTCCATTTGACAGCGGCAGCTCATTTTCTTTCGTTCTTCGGTCCCCCGTCATGTAAATTGTGCCTTACTATGATGGCCAACAGAAGTAAATACAGGGCGGAGTACCTCCTCTCATTCATTGTTGTTTAGCATCACTCGTCGACCGACGCGTTGAAAATATGACGTGATTTTTGGACTCGATTGGATAAAGGCACAGAAAGTTTAACTTTTGAGTTCAACTCATCCATCCCCACTGAGATGTGAAACACTCCAAGATAACTCCACGTGAAGTAAAGCGCAGGTGTAAGAACTCTTCTACGTTTTCAGGACTGATAACAAAGCATGGCCTTCCCAACTTCAAATTAAACCAAGATGTGTAATATATCTTGTTTCATAAGAGCGTCCCACTGACACACGAATCAAGATAGAGATCTTGGTCTCAATGTACTATTTCCTAATAATTGTTGAGGACATGCCTGTCTGTGTTGGGCCATTGGAATCAGAAATTAAATTCGCTATTCCCCCCGACCCCACCCGCAGTGTGCCCCTGCGGTGACATAAACACAGCAGTTGTTCCCAAGATGAATGTTCAAGCAGTTGAGTTTCAAAATCAAACATCTTTTGTCAGTTAATTGATTCCACATTGGAGAAGGCCTAGCATGGAGAGATGCCAAAATTGGGATGGGGATGGCGACTCGCAAAGGAAACCCAGCCGTTCCTGTTAACGTAATCATTTTCTTTCTTTTTTTGTTTTGTTTTGTTTTGTTTCATTTTCATAGTAGATCTGTTAGGACACACTCACGCTTCATGTTTCAAATCGCGGCATAATATTGACCAAATAATTAAGCACTTGTTATTCATGGTTATAGTGAATTGGATTAATGCTCAAATGTAATGATCACTTATTTGTTCAATCGGGGACTTGATTTATTTGAGTGCAACTTCATGTCGCTGCATTTTTTTATTGAGCATATGATCATTCATTGGAGGGTACAACCTGGTTCTGGAACATTTTGGTCAACAATACACTTGCCAGTTATCAGATGAAGTGTATTCATTACATTATCATATTCTCATAAGAGGTGTCAAAATTAAATCATGAATCGACAACTGATTGAGTGTCAAATTAATAAACAACTATTTGAAGAATGAAGTAATCATTTAGTTCCGTTGCTGTCCAACTCTTGTGATTTCAGCCTCTCACCAGTAATTTTTCTCTGACTTCTGTCATCCGTCATGAAGTCAGACATGAACGCAAAAGGTTTTTTTTTCAACCACCAAAAAACCAAAACAATAATTGTTTAATAAACAGTAAATGGAAAAAATGTGTTTCATAAAACACTTTAATGCAAGATAAAATGTTCTCCGATCATTTGAATAATCAATGGAATAATCGATTCGAAAAATATTCAACAGTGACTGCCCCAATTATCATTATTACCTTTTTTATAATAAACAGGAAAATAATTAGATGGTTCTAAGTTTGACTGAGGCGTGCGGTGTCTATTTTGATTCTCGTTATGTTACCACGTTTGGTTTGTTGCCTCATAAAAGAGCTCCAATCCATTCATTGGGTTCACAAGGGACGATCAAGTCATAATTGGGATTACGTGTGTTTTGCTTTATTATCAAGTATATGATCGAGTAATTGGAACGTTACCTCCTTGGACTCGCTCCTGCCTGGTCCCAGGAGGAGAGAGTACATGACGTCTTTGCCCCCCAGGAAGAGACGGTCACGGTACTCATCCAGATAGACGGTTGAGAGTGAGAGTTGGCCATGATGCCCACTGAAGATAGAAGACCTGTTGGTGGACAGTAGATCTGCATATACAAGAAAAAGCATTCAGATTACTAAATTGTAAAGTACCAGATTACAATTACTGTACTTCTTTTTTGTTTACTGTACTTATGAACAAATGTCACAAATCTGTACTTTAATTTTCTGGCAACTTTCACTCTTACTCCTCTAGATTTCACAACAGTGAAGTTTGTTGTGGCGGTCTAAAGTCAAAATGTCAGCATAATTTTAGCTATCCTGAGCTTGTTTAAGCATATGGCTAATGTGATGGTCAGGCTAGCATGTGCTAGCTAACGTCGCTCATTAGCCAACACACAGCTCTTTAACAACTGTAAACTACAAAAACAAAACTCAAGAGAGAAAGTGAAATGAAAATAAATGAAAATATAATCAAAAATCTAAACGTCCACATTTTCTAGTTTTGGTCTGTTAAGTTTATTTACCCAGGTATCACTTTCAAGTACTGTAATTCATACTCAACTCAACTCAACTCACCTGTATTTATAGAGCACTTTAAAACAACCATCGCTGTATACAAAGTGCTGTACATGGAGCAAATATCATATATACAACAATAAAACGATAAATTAATAACAAAGACAGGAGAAAGCACAAAACAGTAAAACTGAGATCAAGTCTGAGATATTCCAAGGCAAATGCCAAAGAATACAAATGAGTTTTGAGACGAGTCTTAAAGATGGGCAGCGAGGGGCCTTGCCGAATGTTCAGTGGGAGGTCATTCCAAAGAGAGGGACCAGCAACGGAAAAGGCTCGATCCCCTCAGAGCCTCCGCTTAGTTCTTGGTACTTCTAATAATGTCTGGTCTGCAGGTGTGTAAGGGCAGAGGAGCTCAGAGAGGTGTAGAAAAGTTGAAGGTTAGAGCGCAGTGTATTAGTCTCAAAACATGAGTCACTAATTTCTTCCCAATGGTTTATTCTATTTTCTCATCTTTGCACTCACAGCAAATAGCATCCTCGTGATTCAACTTTTTCCATGCAAGCCCAGGCACATGTGGTCACTCAGAACAAGCCCCACTAACGGATTTATCTGTAATTCGTTTTAGTCAGATATATCCTTACACTTGTGAACAGAATTCCTGTGGGCATGCACATGTCGACATTGTTTTGCTCACCAAATCAGGAGCGCATGTGTAATCCTACTTAACGACTGCTGTTGGAGTCGATTAATCATTCATTCAAGAGAGCTCTGCCTTGTATGAAATGTTGAGTACTTTGGGGATTTTCTATTTTTTTGCTACACGCACACACAATATATATATATATACAGTGCCTTGAAATTTGACATTGCTACATAATGATTGGAGAGAACATTTCAAGGCTTGTTGATATATCCTCATAATATAATTCAGTTTTATAACACAGTATTACATTTCACTATACCAGCTGTATTGATGACATTTTTTCTTTCTGTTGATTGGCTTATAAAACACTCTTATTTTGCCTTATAATAAGGCTCCTCGGGTCTATTTTACAATTAAATTGAATTTACCAAATACGGTTCCTTGCCTGATAAAGTCCCACAGTAAATCCTACCCTCAAAAAAAAAAAAAAAAAAAAGGGGGAAAGCCACTGAACCAAGACCAGGAAACATAACTCCCACTGCAAGAATAACATCGAGCGTGCACTTTACATCCAATAATACTAAATCATGCTGGGTAAAGTGAAAGAAAAAAAACGTGCATGACATACAATACAGATTAGAGGCTCCCACATATTCGCTTATCTATTCGAGGGGTTGCAGGGGAGAGCTTATGCACCTGGTTACCCCTGACCCAATCTGGCAGCAGCTTTAATGTCTAAAAGGTTGTTGCAAAAACTCAGCAGGAGTGGCAGAGAGCAAGTTGAACTCAAGTTCAACTTGACATGGGCGTTTCCTCTGTGCATGATATGCACACACACACACACACACACACACGCACACACACACACACACACACACACACACACACACACGCGCACACACACAATAGAACAGACCAATTTCTTTATTTTACTGAAATCTTAACAAATCCAATGCAGCCCCATTTAATGTGTTGCAAACGTCCTACTCTGTCCCCATTCAGTTGTGGAAAAAGCTGTCACTATGATCTTGAGTGTTTTATTTGGAAAAAATATTTAATTGCAACGCTCAGCTCTATTGCATCATCATCATGAAATACAGAAGTGATCAAAAGAGAAACACAAGCAATCCAGACAACCCTATCTATAATCTATTTATCCTTGCATTCACTGATCCATCCATCACACGAAAGCATTAGCTGTGATTACCCTAAAATGCAATTTGTATAGTGCACTGGTACCAAACCGCAAAAATAGTCATCACAAAATACATTATAGAGAGGACTGCATTGATTGATCATTGATTCAATCATTTTTACACATCCAGTACATTTGTATAAGCGAACGTGATTCAATCTACTGCCTTTGCAAAGAAAACAAAGCGGAGTTTTGTTGACACTCTCAAAGACACAGCACAAAGAGAGAAGCTGTCATTGGAATGCAAAATCCTCAGAGTCTTTGGACTGATCAGCTTTCCAACCATCTCTCATCACTCGGATGATACACACACACAAAAGTCACGTTGAACAAGTAGTCCCTCGCCACTCAGTGGAGCACTGACTGATTGAACCGTAGGGGCCGCATATCCTCTTTGACACCATGTCTATCAGTGGAGCTTTGCAGACAAAAACACATGAAATCCACTTCCATTTTCTTTGCCACCTATTCTGCTCTGGATCACTGAAAGGTTGACTTAGGGCGAGAGGCAGGGAACAACTTGGATTGATCACTTGTCAATCACGGGACTGAATTTTAGGAAAACAATTTAACACCTGTGGGGTGCTTTACATGGCTACATGATGAGTTGTTTTTTTTTTCTTTCAAATCACCAAAGACATCAATATTGTGTGACTTTCAGTTCGCAAAATTTGTAAAGGTCGCGGGTGTGTTTTAAAATGGATGACATAAAACTTGTGTCGTGATTTTCATGATTGCAAGACAACATGTAAATGTAGTTAGCGTGGCGATTCGTGGATCAGAAGTTTCGGGGTGCTGACAGTTTTGTGTTTACAATACTTTAGCACTTCAAAGAGTTGTACATCCTGAAAATAACTTGTTACATTAATGATCTTCACACCTGAGATGGGAATATCTGTTTCTTTGTTTAATCCTTTTTTTGAACCACGGAAGCTTGTTGTCGCTAATTCACAACACACCAAAATTCATATCTATTTTTTGTGCTCAAATAACATCATAAATTATTTAAGGCATCAAACGGTAAAATCTGCCTTGGATCTTCTCGCAGAAATTTGTGTCCTTAATATTTGACACTGCAACAACTAAAAGTCATGAAAGAAGATTATTAGCATTCTACAGTGTATGTGAAGCGTTCATAAAGCTCACTGATGATGAGCGCAGTTTCAACAAGCTGACATAAAACATCGGCGCTGCTGGCAGAAGAAAACATGAGCGCAGTTTCAACAAGCTGACATAAAACATCGGTACTGCCGGCAGAAGAAAACAGGTGACGCACAAGCTGAGACATGAGTGATACAGTGAAGGCAAAGATAAGGACAGAGCGAGGAGCGAGGCTTTGAGTCGGAAAATAACGAGGAAGAACAGCATGCGGGAAGATGAAGCTGCAAGCCGCAGAATGTTGAAATTGATGATGGATGTGCGAAAACCGAAAGCAGCAAACCGAACAAATATAATGAGGGCAGGAACTGTTAAACATGATGATGCTCTGTTCTGTATTCGTTGATAACTTTTATATGGTGTTACATCATATCTGAATTTGTTAGTCACTGTGCCTGAAACTAACAGTTTAACCAAAAATGTGGGTCAGGATCCTTTTTTAAAGTATCAGAAATTGTCTTTGTACATTTTTTATGACGGCTTTGAAAATTAACTCTATTTACTGTACACTTACCACAAAAATCTGTTTTAATATTCAAGTTGTTAACTGAGAGTGAAACACTATGCTGGCACAAATATTTTTTTGTTTCAAGTGATTGCTGTATTTTCTGTCCAGACAAAAGGCTATGGATTGTGTGCTTTGTAGAACACTACCTAGCTTATCATTTTAGTCAAACAGAGCTGCAGTGAAAGAAATTGCTCTAGCTATGTGGCAGTTGAAACCACATTACCGCCACCTACAGGACTGGCAAGGAACAGGCCAGCGCATCAACATGCTACACCCACAGTCCAGTACAACGTACAGTACAGTAAATTTCGAAAGCATTCTTATTTTTCCTCTTAATAAAACACCCTCAGGTATTAATTTTGATGATAAAATGATTCAGTTCAGACAGTCTGAACATTGATACTCTCCTTCATGAGCCCTGTTACTACGACTAAATAGAGGCAGAAGAAGAATTTCTTTCTTTTGCGCTTGTAGCAAGTATTGTGATTGAGGATCCATCCTTTACAATCTCTCGTGTCCAAACAAAGAGGTCTGCCGTGAGCGTGACATCTTAACCTTAACCTGCGTACAGTATCTGTTAGCCGCCCTTCACTCAAACACATGCTAACAGGAGAAGCCATCTGGTTTCTACACACATACACAAAGGCACCAACTCGCACTCTGCCGCCTGTCAGGCTTATCACTCTCTGCTCATTCCAGGGGTGGAGTGAGGAAAAAAGTCTAACTTCGGGATGACAGGCGGTCATGATGGGAGGATGTGTGGCGCGGGCTAACTTGTCAAACTTGTCAGCGCAACACAGTTTATGCTTACATGTAGCAACATGTGACTTTCACGTGTCTGTAGGTGTCACAGCGAGAATTAGATTTTAATGTGGAAAAAAAAAGTCTGAATAAAGATGATGCTTAGTTTATCATGCTCAGTTTTGACACCCCCCCACCCCCCTCCACGACGCATTTCACACGATTCTAAATGGGAGGGTCGAATGTATTTGGAATGATGTCATGCAGTTCTATACTAGTGTAAGATTTGCAGATTTTTTTTTTTTTTAATTTTGATTTAAAAGGCACATGACGTTAGTCA